AATATGCTTTATTCCAGAGCCTTCTACAATGCTGGAATAAGAGGATGACTGAGACATAATTTCTGCAACTCAATCTAAAATAATACTATTGTATTCTAACTTAGCATGCTAATGTAATGACAAAAAGTTCTTTAAATAGGATGTATTTTCTTTTCTGATAGAAATATCTGACCATACATACATTGTTCAAAAAAACACATCGTTTCATTACTGTTCTCTCTTTCTCTAATATATATAAATGCATTTCTTGAAAGAATAAATTCTGATTTTTGTGAATAAGAAATAAATGGCTAGAATTTAGAGTGGTACTTGGGACCCTTTGTTACCCTTAGGAGAGACCACTGTTTACTTTTTGTTTTGGTGACTCTTTTCTCACATTCTCCCACCCACCCCCATATAGGGATGGGCTTTCTAGAATTTTTAGTTAGTCTAAATTGATCTTTAGATATTTCTAGCTCCTGATAAATTTTTACAATAGAAAATTTTTGTCTAGAATAACAGCTGGTTGAAAGGCAAAGTGTTCCCTTGAGCAAAAGTCTTTTAAGGGTAGTAAGATCATATTGTAGAAAATGAAACAAATGGCTGGCGCCACGGCTCAATAGGCTAATCCTCCGCCTGCGGTGCTGGCACACCAGGTTCTAGTCCCAGTCGGGGCACCGGATTCTGTCCTGGTTGCCCCTCTTCCAGTCCAGCTCTCTGCTGTGGCCCAGGAGTGCAGTGGAGGATGGCCCAAGTCCTTGGGCCCTGCACCCGCATGGGAGACCAGGATAAGCACCTGGCTCCTGCCTTCAGATCAGCATGGTGCACCGGTCACAGCGCGCCGGCTGTGGCGGCCATTGGAGGGTGAACCAATGGCAAAGGAAGACCTCTGTCCACTCTGCCTATCAAAAAAAAAAAAAAAAAGGAAAGAAAGAAAAGTAAAGAAAATGAAACAAATGGAATAAAAGTTCAATTAAAATATTTCTGCCTTTTTCTGGCAAGAAAACTAGGCAACCAAAACCACAGGATAGGAAATATTTCTACCAACTCAGGACTTTGTCCAGTCCAGCACTTCCCAAATATTAATTTACATACAGATCACTTGGGGATCTTGTTAAAATGCAGATTCTAGCTCAGTATGCCTAGGGTAGGACCCAGGATTCTACATTTCTAAGAGGTTCCCAAGCAATGCCGGTATTGCTCGTCTGTAGATCATGCTTACTAAGTAGTAAGACTATAGTCGTGGTCCAATACCATACCTCTACTGCAAAGCACTTTAAGGAGCAGCCCCTCCCATTTTCCTCTCACATATATCACTGCGCTACTCTCCATCTCATCACTCATCTAACTTAAACCTACACAAAGAAGAAACCATCACCAGGGTGTTGGGTAAGAGGAAATTCACTGGCTTTTGTTTTGTTTAGTTTTTTGGAACGGGAGTCACAGTGTTTGGAGTTTTGCATAAAATAATGCCATTTCTATTTTTGTAGTAGTTAATATTTTGATATGTCTCTATAAATTGTGGGGTGGATTGCAAGTAATGAGTATGAATGGTTTATCTTTTTAAATTAGAGCAAATTTAATGTTATTTTAAAACATTGCTTTCACGTGCTTTCAAGAGGGGAGTAAGAGAAGGAATCGAGTTAGCAAGTAGTGAACATTGTGCTATCACCTACTTGTCAATGCCAAGTCAATACAGTTGTATCCATATCAGAAGTGAGTTAGATGTGACAACCACCACTATCCCTTCTAGATACCACTGCTATTCTTCGAATTCTTTACAATATAGATGATTCAAAGATGAAGAAGACCATTGATCATAAAGAATGATTTATTTCTGAGTCAGATAGTAACTTTCTGTATGTTAGCAACTCCTGAGATCTTTCAGCAACTGGGGGTATTGATACATTTTCAGTTAAGAAGTTCCATGACAGTTCCTACAATGGGGACTGAATGGACAACACTTAAAAATCCTAGAGACTGTTGTAGTCTTTAATAAACTTGTGTATACCTAAAGGAATTGTATAACCCAAGAATTTATTATTTCATTTTAAGGGAATGAAAACCATAGATTTCTATAAACGTTCTTATATAAACCATTACAAGGAAAAAAAGGGATATGGATCACCTTTTCACATTGTTTATTTTAATAATTTATATAATTCTTTCACTACTTTTACGTATAGAATATCAGTGAAATAAATGTGTGTTTTTGACAAAATGTTAAAAGAAAATAATGCTATTATGTAAAATAACATTTTGAACTTAGCATAGAATAAAAGATACAATGCCATATAATATCTCCAGCTTGTTCCTGTTTTACTTGTAATAGTTACTTTGAAAAGAATGGCATGGTTTTAGAAACATTCATTTCCCCTTTTTAACATGCACCAAAAATGCTTCCTTTCCATCCCTATCTTTACAATTAGGACTCTAGGATTTGAAAACAGCAGACATGAGATGCAGCTGCAAAAATGTCTACAAGTGAAAGATAATCCACTTAAATCCTTCTACGTGTTGAATAAGGATATATAGGGAATCACAAGTAAATTCAAATTATTTTACTATTTTATTTAGCATTGCTGCATTTTCTCATTTATTTCAATTTTTATTCTTAATTATGAAACATTACAAAATAATGTCAGATGTTCATCCACTCATCTAGTTTTAACAGATATTAACATTTTGCAAAGATATAGATTATGTTGTCTTTTTAGCAAGATACTTTTCACTAAAAAGAAAACATTAAAATATTTGTGTCATCAAAAAGATGAATCACAAACTGAAATTAGCTGCTAAATCCCATGTAAAGCTCATCAGAACTTTAAATGATGAGAGAAAAGCCTCTAAGAAATTCTCTCTCATGCCCCTTGCATGCCTTGTCTTCAAAATAATACTAACAATAATCACCAGGATTTAGATTTGCTTTGGGGAGAACTTCTAAATAATAAGTATTTATAAATATGTTATACACTTTCAGTTAATGATTTGTTTTATAATTAGCGTAATATTTATTTTTGAGAAAGTTACTTTGGACTTTTCTATTCCGATTTGTTTGTACTTCGAATGTGTGATACATGTTTACATATCATATTATACATAAAATATACATTAATACATACAAATATGAATTTAAGTAAAGAGAGAATCTCCAATAAATATTTTTAAACTTTCAATAAAGATCCTATTCCTTTCTCTTGTGAAATTCTTAGATTGCCACTGAGTGTAAAAGTATGTACTAGGCAACAGAGAACAAGATTTAAGGTATATAAATTAATAAGTGAAAAAGTAGACTGACCTTTGTAAACAATTTATGTAGAAATACTTTAGATGCTGGGAGAAAATCTGCTTGATTTGTGCCCTTTCAGGTACAGCTACAAAGTGAGAAGTGGCTCATCTTTCCCGTACAGGTAAAGGCTGAGTAGCAAATTCTCAAATTTCACACAATACTGTTGTTATTATGAAGTAAAATGGAACAAAGAATTGTACGTGAAGTACTTTGGGCAATCCCCTTTGATAGTTTAAGCTGCAGATGTCTGTGTGGTTGGAAGTATGTGTTTTAACTCTGGCTTTACTGTGAGATTCTGTGCGTTTGTCTACAGGCAAAACAGCTTGCTTTTCTCAGTTTAAGTCTATAAGATAATTCTCCTTCTATGGGCTTAGAATTGTCTTTGTTTAGGATGAATTACCCCTTCTTCGACTCTTTCCTATTCATATTATGATATATAATTTTAGTTAAGCAATTATGAAATCTTTCATATAGTATTATTTTGGGCTTCTGTAGAGAAGCTTAAAATATGTTCCACAAATGAATGACTATGCCTGTTTATTCAATATATTTTCGTGTTGAACTGGACAAAGTCTTGCCTAGTGGAAGTCACAATAAAGTCTTTTTTTTTTTTCCTTTTTACCTGCAGAATTAAGACGTTTAACAGTTATTTGAATCTGAGGATGTCATGTTTTCCATGATAAATTTAGAGTAATATATTCTTTTTACTTTCAGGAATACTTTTGAGTTTCCTATAAACAGGTTTCTTTAAATTTTTTTTTTATTTTTAAGAAAAAGCACTTAGCTCATTTTAAGATTCATAGTCTACATTTTAAGGCCTGCTCTTCAAGACCTGCAAAATAGTTGCTTTTGCTTTTATATTGTGACTATGCATTTTAAAAAATTCATGTTTCAATTTTTTCAGGAATATTTTAATAGCAAGAACCTGCTTCATTTTTCTTCCTTCTATTTTGGTCAAGATAACCAAAATGGCTGAGATTTCCCAGGTCTTTAAAATGGAGCTCCTCAATTCAAGGAGTTTTAGGCTGAAGTGTAATGATTCCTAGCCGTTGTTTACTTTACACCTTAGCCATTAAATACTACTGACTTCATAGGCATGGCATACAAACACACTTTCTTCAACTTCATTTATACAGAAAATCTCCAGTTTGAGTTTTTATACAGCCTTGAAGTTCACAGGCTCATGGAAATGCAATTTATGCAACAAATCAACTGCATCTGGCTTCCTTTTTCTATAGTTGGCTAAGGAAATGAAGACCAACTCATTAGGGAATATGTAAGGAATACTTTTCACTTTGGTTGAATAAATAATTTTTGCATGGAAATGTATTCCAGCATCAATAAAATACCACTATGAAGAACCTTTTGGTTTACTCCCTTCTCCACTCCACCTGTAGAATTTTTCCTAGTGGGTAACTAGACTGATCTTCCCCAATATTAAATTGCATTCACACACCGAAATACAGTCTTCCAGTCCTACAAGCAGGTGGAAGGCGCCATGCTGGCCTTGCAGAGGCTAGGTCATCTGTCTGGTCGCATCACCCTGCCACGACCACCCAGTGTTTACTTGACAACTTCCAGAGATAGGAAACTTATTTCTCAACCTCTGCTTTCAAGAATTAAACCTTAGTGGGAGGAATTAGGAAAGCATAAATCTCTTTGCGTGCTTACTACAGCACTGAGTAAGAATCCACAGAGCACAATAAAAACTCGCCCATTGCGATCTTCCCAGGCGCTCTCATCCAAGGGAAGGGCAGGCAGAGAGGTTCAGAGCACGCAGGCTGTCCAAAAAAAAGGGGGGTGGGGGGGGAGACTCAGGGGCTCGGGTGCGCCCTGGAAAAACTTCACATTAGGAAAGGCATCTGCGATAGGCCTCGAGGCACGGACAGCATCGCACTCCGGGGACAAGCCACTCCAGGAAGACGGACCCTCCCTTCCCCGAACGCCAGCTGCAAGTGCCAGGGGGCCCTGCCACCCGCGACGTTTCCAGAAGACCTCTGCACCGGCGGAGGTCCGGCCCTGAAGGCACTTCCGCAGTTCACTTCCCTAAGTCTGCGTTCCGAGAGTGCGCCCGGGAGTTCCGGCTCCGGCAGGTGGGCTCCCTCTCCATTCCTAAGCGCTGACTCTGCGAGGTGCTCCCCCCAGCAAAAGGCTTCTGCGGCTACAGCGAGCGTGCCACGGCTGCCGCTTCCCTATCCAAATTACGGCGCTCGGAGCTGCGCGACGCCGGAGAGACCGGGTCCCGCCCGGCCGGACAGCAGAGGCGCAGCGCCGCTGCTCGAGCTCTCGGGCCGGGGCGCCTCTTCCCTCCCCCCATCCCGGCGCGGCGGCGGCGGCGGCGGCGGCGGCGGCGGCGGGAGCGGGGGCCGGGCGAGGGGCGGAGCTGGGGAGGGGCCGCGGCGCTGGCGGCTCCGGCGGCGGCAGGTGTGGACCGGCCGGAGGTACGGCGTAGTCCACTCCCGCCCGCTTCTGCCGGGGTCCGGGGCAGGTCCGGAGCTCGGAGCAGCTCCGGCCTGCGCACAACTTGGGGTGCGGCCAGGGACGCTCAGATTTCGTGCCCAACGCCTGGAGGCGAAAGACGCGCGTCCCGGGCCGCAGTGGCGGTGCGGACCGGGGGAGGGGGGCCACGCTTGGTCCCTTTCCGGAGCTGGGACCCGGCGGCCCAGGCTGAGGGCGGGGGGCGGGTTGCGGCCCCAGCCCGGGGCGCCCACTCATCCCCGCCCTCCGGCCGGGACCCGCAGGTAAGCGGAGAGCGCGTCGGTGCCGCTGCGCGGGGGAGCAGGGCTGGGGCGCGTCCCTGGCGGAGTTCCGGAGGAGGCTTTGGGGCCTGGGCACGCGGCGGTGCGCCGCGGGGTCGGAGGGCCGCGCGGTCGGAGGGCCGCGCGGGCAGCAGAGCCGGGATGCTGCGGCCGGCTCCAGCGCATCCCGGAGCGCGGCGGCCCTGGCTCTTGGCAGAGCCGCCGCCGCCTCCTGCCGGGATCGGAGGTGGTTACGCTCCGAAGGCAGAGGTCCGCTGTCCTCTGAGCCTCCGAGTCGGCTCTGCGTGACCGTGAGCGCGGTGGGGGCGAGCGCTTGCCGCCCGCAGTGTGAGAGGAGCCGGTTTGCCCTTTGATACTGTGCCTTTAAAACTTCCTCGGCTTCCCACTCCTGAAGCGAAGAGAAATTAAGCGTGAGGTAAAATCCACGCCCAGGAGGATCAGAGTTAGTTTGCGCTCGGTGCAGCTGCGAAAATGATGCTCTGTGAAATCCTGAGCCCCCTTCCCCCCCGAACTTCACCGAAAAGAGCCTCCGACCCTTCCGAGAGACGGTGGTCGTCGTGAACAAACTCGACGGAACTGTTCACTTAGCGCGCCTCGGGGGAGAAGTTGAGGCAGGCTCTGGCAGGAGCGACCCCTTCCCGGCTCCTGCGGGACGTTTTGGTTCCCGCTCCAGGAGTCCCAGGACTGGGAATGACAGCTGGGGCCCCGCACCTCGGGCTGGGCCCGACACCCGTCCGCTGCGCCGGGACCTCCGCTTTCTGGAGTCGGGCCTTTCGGCTTCCTTGTTGAAATCGTGACAGCTTTGGAGTGAAATTAGGACAATGATCCTATTTTTTTTTTTCTCTAGAGTTTATTACCTCTGCCTTAAGATGTTTCTCTCATGGACAGAAACTTAGAAGATTCCGTTTTTGTATTTTCTTTTCCAGAAACTTTTGATGGAATACATAAAATTTGGACTTTAAAAACGGCCGCCCACTTTGTTGCCTAGCGCTTTTGTGTTTGGGAAGGGGGCTGCCTTTTCAGCTTATTTTTAAATCACCGACCTTGGTCGTTTTTTTCCGTGTCTCTAGAAGTTAATCTTTACCTGAGGCCTTTCTCTTGGTTTTATGGCAAAAAAGTTAAGTGGACAGTGGTTTAAGCCTACCCTAAAGAACTATGTAGGTCTCCCGCCCACGCCTCTTTTTTAACTGTATCGGACTCCCATGAAAACTGGGCAAACTGCTTTGATTTTAGGACACAGAAAACATCGTAAGGGGGATTTGGGGCACTTATCTTAATAGAATTATTGGTTTATGGTGTTTATTAACTTAGATGGCATTAGGTCTTTACTGTATTTGAGGTTATTGCTTGATGATAAGCAAATGTAGGAAGTCAAGAAACTCTTAAAACTGGAGTTATTCTCTGGGCGGTATTTTGTAGTATTACATGGTTTTAACAGATTCTGAAATGTCAGGTGAAGCCCTTGACTGATAACATGGACTGTTGGTTCTTTTTAAAACTTTAAATAGATTACTGAGAAGGGAGATATAAAATGCTTGATAATTGTGCATCTTTTTTAACAGTGGAAATGGGAAGAAATGGGGAGGATAGTGTTTTTCTAGAATTTAATAACTAGTAGTTATTCTAGAAACCAGAAATATGCTTGAGGAACTCCAATAAGGGTAAAATTGTACATTGTATTTTTAAAATGTTAAGGAGAATATGTACTTGTAAAGCTAAAATACTCAAATGAGCAGCATTGAATGAGATAAAATAGAATAATTTTTCCATATATCATTTTTCCTCAGATTAAAACAATAGCTATCTTGATTTGCTTTAAAATTTAAGGTATAATTAAATTTGGCAGGTACCTATTTGGGATCATTCAAAATACTTTATTTCATTTATTATAAACAATTCCTTTCCTCAGTAATAGGTTTTTGAGCAGTGTGGTTTGCTTGAGATGCTGGCACTTAATTACAGTAGATGTCATTACATTTTTCATATCATTGCTCTAGTTTTTCTTCACTGTGTTTAGTTAGGTACTATTGGCATTAATTTGTCGGCTCTCAAATTTAAATTATGGAGAAATAATAGGTACAATCCTTAGATATTAAATCTAGTGTTAGGATAAAATAGGTTTATTTAAAGAGAATAATGTTTCTGATAGTTCTTTTAATCATAAAAATAAAAAAAGAATTAATTATGTTTTAAGTTTCTTGATGTATCTAAAAACTATTCACATTAGAAGTGATCTCCCAAGTGTTTCAGAAATGTTTATAGTATAGAGTGGAAAAGTTAGTTTTCTGTTAGAATATATTTCCAAAGAATACAAAATAAAAAAAGCTTTCATTGAATTCAGAGTTAAATCTTAAATAAGAAATAGTAAAATTTGATCTAAGTATTTTAAACTGTATTTTCATTGAGGACTTTTTAACAGTGCCTTCTAGTAAGTGTACTGAAAGTAAATTAGTACAATGTAAGTACCCCAATGTGGCTGCTTTGTTTGTGGCTATTGAGGCTTTTTTCTCCGCATCTTTTTGAAGGACGAGTCCAAGAAATTACCAAGAGGATTCTGAGGAAGATTGAGATGAAGGAGAAAAAATTCAAACATGATTATGGTGTATATGTGTGTTAATTTGAAGCAGGGAAGGGGTTGAAAACAAGAGTTAATGGTCAAAATATTCTTTCAAAATCCCAAGCAGTTTTTAGTGTATTATATAATTGACTGTCTAGCCAACCTGAAGTTATTGAATATTATAAAATACAGCAGATCCCAGAAAAATAAATCGTTTCTGAAAATCCTTAATCATGGCTATGTCAAGTATGTAACCTACTCTATATTGTCTAAATCGCACTATTTGAAGCCAATTTATAAATTAAATGTGTTATAAAATTAATTAAATAGGTAATTTCCCTTTTAAGAGAAATGCCCCTTTTTGAGGGACTATTTTTTAAAACATCAAAAATAGCCCTAATTCTTTGAGTAAAGCAATAGTTATATTAATTAAAAGTTATACTTTTAACATGAGGAAATGCTATTTATATTGGCCTTGGAAGCATTTATGCTAAGTAGTTTGTGGCCCAGTTTCCATTTCTGTATCTGTGCTGCCTTTGACAAAGGATTCAGTATGGAGGGTGTGAAAGATTTTAAAGGGAGAATTAGTAAAACTAGCTATGTGGGTTTTTCACCGGTCAGCCCTATGAGCCTATGTCCACGTGAATTCAGAACCAGAGGAGAAGTTCTAAGAATCTGATTCCCCACAGCTCCTTTGCACTGATTCCTGGTGAGTTAGTAGCAAAGAGCCATCTCTGCCATTTCCAAAGCCGACTTCATGATCCACAGCAAATCAAACCCACGGAATCTTTTAGTCTTGTCCAGTTCAGCTCCACTTCCTTGCCAGGGGCATAACAGCCGAAGTTAAAAGACTTATACTCAAATGGGAAAATTAGTGCCATTTGTGTATATGCAGTAGCCTTATTCAAACTGCTTTCAACCTAATTGGAAAAAAAAAGTATGATTTGATTATAAGTCCTCCAGGGTGGGTAGTGTGTAGGAGACTGCGGTTCAAGACTGCATTTAGGTTTTTCACTTATTTTGAATTATTTAGAGTTTGTCTTGTAGCTCTCTGGTTTGTTTCTTTGTGACTTACTCAGCCTCTACAATTTGGAAGAGAGAGAAAGCACAATACAATGGTAAATTTTAAACGTGTAAGCTGGTACTATATTGGTCGCATAAAACTTCCACTTCTGCTGTGGGAACTCCCTGTTGGATTTTCTTCTTTGTACTTGAAATCTAAGTTCTTTACTTGGAAGTAATTCTTATTCTGAGAAGGGCAGCAGAAAAAGGAAAAAAAAAAAAAATCCTGCATCAGGCAACTGATTTTTTAAATTATCTCTGAAATCTCAAGTAGATTTTGGCTACTAGTAAACTGGACATGTAAACATAAGTTAAATTAGCTCAGAAAAGTCTGTTCCAGAAACTGTCCTGTTTGTGATTTGTTTTTTAGAAAAACTGATCTTAATGTGACATGTAATATTTCTTCTAGATTAATACTGTTAACATATTTGAGGTGAAACAAGTTTAAGAATCCAAGGTATAAATACATGCAAAGGATTGATTCCCTAAAAGTCAAAGCAGTAAGATCTTATAAGCTAAAATAACCTGAGATTTTTGAATTATAATACATGCTCAGGTAGAAATTCCAGTCATAAAGTCATTGAGTAACCCTGTGGGGTTCTGGTCATTTTTTCTTTCTTTTAGCCTGACCTTTTACTGATTATCTCAACTTTGTTAGCTTTTTATTTTTTTTAAAGTCTCAAATACAAAGCAATAAACTAAAAACAAAAAAACTGTGAACTTGCTGTGTTAAATCTATGTATAGTGAATGAAGTTTTTAAATTAGAATTTAATTAGCTTTTAACTAGTCTGACTTCAAATAATTGACTAGTACTGTTGTCACTTGACCTTTCTTTTCTGTGCCATGACCCAAAGTTGGTTTACTTTTTATGGGTGAGAGTAGAACTAGATTAATTAAAAGCAAAACAAGCAAATCCCAGCTTGCACCTGACTTCAGTGGTTTGTAACACTGCTGCATGTTTGCCAGCATCCTAATAATGATAAAATTGTAGGTTGTTTTATGCTTTATTTTTATTTTTGGGATCAGGATTAGGGTGATTGAAAAATGAAAAGTATAACATTCACTTTTTAAATTAATGTGTATATTCAAATTAACTTATAGTAATAAAAATCAGTAGTTTGAATTTATAACAAAGCAAAAACTATTATTTGTACCTGGACTGTTGTATGGTAAGTAGCGTTGTAATTATTTCTAATAAAATAAAAAAATTAGAATTTTATAGAACTTTTTAACCTCTGGAAACAAATTAATAGTTTTGTACCAAAGAGGACATTTTTAATAAAAACATCTTAAAGATTAAATTAGTCAAAACATATTTTTTCAGTTATTTATTATTTTTGAACCTGAAGTCACTGAAAATATTACAGATAAAAGAATATGTGAAAATGTAATGAATAAAAGCTAGCTGTTCTTTTTTTTTTTTTGAAGAACGAAATCTCATACCTGCCATTTTAATGTAATTTTTATTCTTGGGATCTAGAGGTTTTCAGGTTCTGGAGAAAAGGTCATAAATCATAAGTAATGTCAAAGATGATGAAAACGTTTAGAAGATTCAGTTTCCTTTTAAAATGCATGTATTTAGTACTTGGTCAAAGCTAATGTTCTGTATTATTTAATTAACACATTATCAAAAAGAGACCATTGAAAATGGAAAGCTAATTATAATACAGTTAACAGTAATTTAAAATAATACATTTGTTTGAAAAGTAAATCTTTGAAGAAAAAGTTCATTATATTAGTCCTAATAGAATTTTTTGCTAAATTTATTAAAGTAGAAATAAGTACACATTTCAGAATGATAGACAAGTTTCTATGTGTTAGCTAAAATTATATTGGAAATTTTAAATATAAATGGAACTCCATGCTGGTCTCCCATTAAGAGTGGCAGTGATCCAAGTACTCGTACCATCTTCTGTTTCCTTCCCAGGTGCATTAGCAGGGAGCTGGATTGGAATCGAGCAAAAAGCAGAGGTCTAATGAGAAAACCAGCTCTGTGAGATTAAAGAGGTCAGTAGCTAGTAAAAGGAGTGATGCCAAAATTCAAACCCGTCTTTTCAGTTCCTATGCCTTTGTTCTTGGTTATTGCTGTGTTTCACAGTAATTAAACAGAATATTTGTGGAATTATTTTTTTAAAAAAATTGCAGTCATTTCATAGTATTTTGAGAATCCTCAGCTGTAGTTTTTTTTTTTTTTTTTTTTGTATTTTTTCTTGGAATTTCAGAACTAGTTCAAAACACTTTATGTTCAAGCCTGACAAAAGATACAGATAATATAGGTAGTAATTTTTATAAGCAAAAGAAATAGGTCGTGTCTTTAAAGTACTAAGTCTAGTAACGGATTATGAATTTTCTCTGAACAAAAATTACTAAAGCATCACAGGGATGTTTTTTGGAGGGTGAATGGAGAAGGGGACCAGGTTTGGAATGCAGTTGTAGCCTTTGGGGCACCTAACCCATAATCAGTGTTCAATGTTTCTTTATTTTTTAAATATTTGTTTAATTTATTGGAAAGGCAGAGTTAGAGAGGGGAAGAATTGGGGTGGGGGGAAAGAGAGAAAATCCATCCACTGGTGCACTCCCCAAATGACTGCAACAGCCAGAGCTGGGCCAGACCTAAGCCGGGAGCCTGGAACTCCATCACATGGGTGGCAAGGGCCATCTTCTGTTGCTTTCTCAGGCTCATTATCAGGGATCTGGATCAGGAATGGAGCAGCCAAGACTTGAACTGGTACCCATATGGGATGCTGACATCCTAGGTGGCAGCTTAGCCCACTGCACCATAACTCCTGCCCCTTTGGTATTTCTAAAATCAATGAGGGAATGAATAAAAGGATGATGTGTCTTTGCTCATACACTCAAAGTGTGGTAACAAGTATAGTGTTACCACTGTCTGTGTAACTTTGGATAGAATTCTAGACCTTCTTCAATGGCAGCCCCCTCTTTCTGGCATGGTAATCATATCTTCCTCATTAGTTGTTGTGAAGGTTTTGAAAGTGATAAGTCCCTTTTCTTTATTCTCACACCTGGCCTCTTATGTGAATAGAAAGTCCATTAGAGGGTGAGGCTGAGAGACAAGGCCTGAGTTCAGACTAAAGTCCTTGTAACTGAATCCATCACAGAAAGGGTGAATGTCAAGGAACAAGGTGGAAATGGTGCTCTCTTAGTGCTCAAGTGGGAGGGACCTGGGTTCCAGTGCTGATCTGTAGTGTTGACTCCAGTGTCAACACTGGTACCTATATGGTACTCCAGTGTGGCTTCGGGCAACTCACCTGGGCTACTGTTGTATAAACTGAGGACACATTTCAGGGCTATCTAAGAGTCTTGCAAACATGGTCTACTTGGGTAAGTTTCAAGTGCCTGCTGTCAGTGTCTGACAGGGAACTGAAGGGAACTCCCCATGGCAGGGATCTGCCACTCCACACATTCACTCACTCAAGCATTTCCGTATCCAGGTAAAACACTATCTGGACCTAAGCTTCCTCTTTAGCATTCTGCTCCTCTCCCACTGTACCAGATGGTGCTGGAGGTTGAGACAAGTTAGTTTTAATTTTGTGGAGGTTAAAGACCCTGTGCTCCTGAACAGGATAAGTGAAAAGGCCCCTTTCAGGGCTAACCCTGCAGTGTATGAAATTCAGCATGGGAACACAAGAAAAGAACAAAAACGGAGCACTGAAGAGTGGGCTGAGTCAGTTTGCAGGCTGAACAAAACAATGATTAAAACAGAGAAGCGGTAGGCGTTTGGCTTAGCCTTAAAGACACTGGTTAAGACTCCTGTGTGTCATATCAGAGTCCTTGGGTTCAACTCCAGGCTTTAGCTCCTCATTTCTGATTTTGCCGGTACAGACCCGGGAGGCAGCAGTGAAGGCACAAGTAGTTGGGATCCTGCCACCCACAAGGGAGGCTTGGATTGAGTTTCTGGCTCTGAGCTTCTGCCTGCCCAGGCCCAGTGCCCAGTCCCAGGAACCCAGTTCCAGCCATTGTGGGCATTTAGGGAGAGGATGGTTCTCTCTCTCTATATATATATATTATATATATATATATATGTATATTTGTATATATCATGTATCTGTGTGTATGTGTCTGTCTCCCCCTAAAGATAAACAAAAAAAATTTTTAAATGAGGAGAAATAAAAGGAAATTTAATAGCAATAAAAAGTATCCAAATGAGTTCAAATTCAAAGTGAAAAATCGTACACACAAAATTGGCCAGATTAAATTTATATGAGAAGAAAGTTAAAATGTGAAAGACAGCTTTCTTGATTGGAAAAATGACATAAATGGTCAAAGCAATGAAAACTTTAGGGTTTTTTTTTTTGCCAGAATTCCTTTTTTTAAGCTAATTTGAACAGAGCAGTTATGTTGTAGGAAAGCAAAGCTTTTATGTGCATGCAAAAAGACAGGGTGAGAGGAAGATGATAGAAAACAACCTCCCGGGACACCAACAAAGGCAAGCAAACCCAAGAATCCTGAAAAAGAGATTTTCAGCAAAAGAATATTTTAAAGTAGATGGAAAATAGGAGGCCATTATCTCTTTTTGTGTCTGAAGAAGGAAAACAAGGACTATGGTTTTAGTTTATCTCTTTTTTTTTTTTTTAAAGATTTTATTTATTTCAGAGGCAGAGCCACAGACAGACGGAGAGACAGACAGATCTTCCATCCATTGATTCACTCCCCAAATGGCCGCAACTGTCAGAGCTCAGCTGATCTGAAGCCAGGAGCCTCCTCTGGGCCCCCACACAAATGCAGGGTTCAAGTACCTGGGCCATCCTCCACTGCTTTCCCAGGCTACCAACAAAGGGCTGGATCAGAAGAGGAGCATCTGGGATATGAACCAGCACCCATATGGTATGCTGGCACTGCAGGCAGAGGCTTAACCTACTAGACCACAGTACCGGCTCCAAGACTGTGATTTTAAATCATTGAAAGAAAGGGCCAAAACAGACAAGTTTGGCATAATAAATGGAGAATTGCAGAAACCTGTGGCAGTCTAGAAAATGGCCCTAGTTTATGTGTGATCATGTATGAGAGTGAACAACAAGGAAATGAGCAAATGTTGCTTAAATGTTACCAAGCCCTGCCTTGTCCAAGCAATGGTATGGGTAAGCAGGTGTTGGGAATGGAAGAGTCTTAGCATGCACTTCTTTTGTCTCCTCCATACCCTCAACCGTAGAGATGCTACACCATTATCATGCATGGTTATGGACTTCAAGTTGGCAGCCCTGTGTTTCAGTCTCAGTTCGGCACTTAACTTCTGGCTATGTGACTGGAATGGACTAAAAGCTGTCCTCCTCACTTTCATTTGTTAAATGGGGTTGTTGCTAAGCATGATAATTCCCTCACAGGGATACTGGAAGGGTCAAATGAACTAGCTGGTGTAAGTTAAAATATTTTGTAAATGTCCCTGGATATTTTTTACTACAAAACTTAGATGTCTCACTGTAAATATTTGCAATGGGAAGAAGGAATTGGAGATTTTTTTTTCCTTTTTAGTTATTGAAGTTCTTGAACCTTTGGGACATCATTAAATTCTGGGATTCCTAACCTGGAGTTCGTTGATCACAAGGGAGCTTATAGACAGCATTTAGGGGACAGGGAACTTGTATTAAAAAACAAAAATTGCATTTTTAAAAAAGATTTATTTATTTATTTGAAAGGCGGAGTTACGGAGAGGCAGAGACAGAAGTCTTCCATCTGCTGGTTCACTTCCCAAGTGGCCTCAACTGCCAGAGCCGTGCCAATGCAAAGCCAGGAGCCAGGAGCCACCTTCAGGTCTCCCCAGCTAGTGCAGGGGCCCAAGGACTTGGGCCATCTTCCACTGCTCTCCCAGGCCATAGCAGAGAGCTAGATCAGAAGTGGAGCAGCCAGGGGTCAAACCCGCACCCATATGGGATGCTGGAACTGCAGGTGGCGGCTTTATCTGCTACGCCACAGTGCCAGCCCCAAAAATTGCATTTTATTTTCATTAAACTCTAATTGAAATTTAGCATTTTATTGAATTATGAATGGAGGTAACAAGTGACCACAGTACTTAGCAGAACCTATGACAACCAACTGTAGGAATCACATTTGTATCACATTTAGTAGTTGCAGATAATTAGAAATAATGTTTGGGGCCAGCATTGTGACATGGCAGGGAAAGCTGCTGCCTGGGATGCTGGCATCCCATATGGGTCCTAGTTTGAGTCCTGGCTGCTGCACTTCTGATCCAGCTCCCTGCTAATGGCCTGGAAAAGCGCAGAAGATGGCTCATGTACTTGGACTCCTGTACCCTTATGAGAGACCTCTGAATGAAGCTTCTGGCTCCTGCATTTTAGGGGATGAACCAGCAAAGGAAGATTTCTCTCTTTCTGTCTCTCCATCTCTGTAACTAAGTTTCAAATAAGTCTTAAAAAAAATACTTCTGTGTGATACAGCTTTGTTATTAAACCTAGTGGTAGGTGTCATTATTTAATACATTAACAAAGAATCATAAATATTATATCAAAATTTGTTTTAGTATTTAGATATTTCAGTGTCACTGATTTCTGTTGTAATTTATGTTATGTGTTTCATCTGAGAAGAGATCAGTCGCTGCAAAAAAAGGAAGTTTTGCTTTGTTTTTGCAGTTATTGTTAAAATAGCAGGCTTACATGGGTTTCAGCAGATAATGATATTAAAACAAACAGTAAACTACCTGCACTCTAACTAGGCTTCCAGAAAGAAAGATTCTAGGTGTGCAAGTTAAAACAGCATAAACTTGCAATATAATGAAATAGTGCCCTGGACAGTGTAGAACATATTCTTTTCACTCTGAAAAGTTTCATCTCTGTAATGCATGGGGAAAGATTCAGGCCAGACTGCACCAGTGCACTCAGAGGCATGGAGAGCATAGTAAAGGACAAACAGCACACATCCCTTACAGTGTAATGTCTTCTTGACACCTGCTGATGATGCTGGGACAACAGGCAAAAGCATATTCTTCTGAAACTCAAATAGAGTGATAGATGTTTCCATGTCATTTTTAAATTTTATTTTGTTTTTGTTTGTTTGTTTTGTGGCTATTGTAGCATTTGACTCATAAAATGGCAATAACTTACGTTATTTTGCTTTTACTGGACTTTGTTTAAACATTTCATCTGATGAGTGCCCTTACGGGATGCCTAATATACTTTATGAGTATGTGCACCTTTCTTCGTAAATAGAGGTTTAATTCTCTCTTTTTTTTTTTAAGATTTACTTTATTTACTTGAAAGTTAGAGTTACACAGAGAGAAAAGGAGAGGCAGAGAGAGAAAGAAAGAGAGAGAGAGAGAGATCTTCTATCCGCTGGTTCACTCCCCTGATGGCCGCAATGGCTGGAACTATACTGATCTGAAGCCAGGAGCCAGGAGCTTCTTCCGGGTCTCCCACGTGGGTGCAGGGGCCCAAGGACTTGGGCCATCTCCTACTGCTTTCCCTGGCCATAGCAGAGAGCTGAATCGGAAGAGGAGCAGCCGGGACTCAAACCGACGCCCATGTGGGATGCTGGCATTGCAGGCGGCGGCTTTACCCGCTATGCCACAGCGCTGGTCCCCAAAAGAAGGTTAGTTTTTTGAAGTTTAAGTCCTGTCTAGCCATATCCTCTGCTGATCTTATTTAGCATCTAAAAAAAGATAATTCAGTAAATTACATGGTATACATTTTAAGAAGTGGAAACATTTTTTTTTGCTTCCATATTCTCCTCTGCTAGCTTTGCTTTCTGCTGAAATCCATGGCTGCATTTGTGAAAACACAACAAATAAGCTAGCATTTATCTCCATCTTGTTTGTTTTGATTTCTCACATTTGAATATTTGAGCTTCCTCAATATCTGGGGGCATGTTACAGTTGTCACAGCTCCTTTATCTTTGCCATCTGATAGTGCATGTCTTTGAAGTCTGCTTGTGATATGTAGTGATTGGGAGCATCAGAGAAGCATAGACTGTCAGATCTGCAAAGGTCTAAATTCCCTTTTTTGCTCGGTGATCAGTGGGGCAAGGAAGGTTAAGGGACTTACCCATGCTTCATATTGGGTAAGTGGTGGACTCAATAGTGTAAGCCTATCAATAGATTATCAATCCATACTGTGTTACCACACCAGCCTTTCCTTAAAAGTGCATTCTATTCTGCACAGAATTCTCTGGTCACATCAGTTTTGAAAATCCTGAATGTTTTTTGTTCATTAGATATTCCAATAACTTCTGTAATATAACTTGTTGGATTCTAACTTGGCATTTTCTAAGTTTATTGATCATAGTATTCTCCTTTCTCTCCCCCTAGAAGTCTAATAAGGGGTTATACTTCGGGAAATCCTGTTCTGTGCATTGGTGAGCTTTGCTGCTGCTGCTGCTGCTGCTGCTGCTGAGGATAACAATAACTTTAATTGACTTACTACGTCATAGGCACTGTTCTAAATACTTTACACAAATAAGATTCATTTATTCTTCACAGCAGCCCAGTGAATCAGATACTATTATTGCTTCTGTTTTATAGATGAGGAGAGGAAAGGCCAGAGAGACAGCCGCAATATAGTAATTGTGCTGCTCAGGTAGTAGTGTTAGGTTTTTAACCAGGGATTGTCAACCTCAGCACTGTTGGCACATTGGCCACGTAATTTGTTATTACAGAGGGCTGCCCTGTGCATTGCAGACTGTGAAGCAGCATCCCTGCCCTTTTCCTGATTTTGTCTACCAAAAATGTCTCTAGACATTGCCAAATGTCCCCTAAATTGCTCCCGATGGAGAACTGCCGTTGTAAACTTATAGCAGAAATATACTTTCTTAAATGACTTTCTTAGTAAATTTTACAGTGACTCATGATCATGATTGGGCAAATTACACATTGTAGGTTCTGTGACTGCGTCAAGCAGTGTACACTTAGGTGGGAGTGGGTATGAGTTAAACTTGACCTATACTGCTCCCTTCCGCTCCATTTCCTTACACTGCTTCTGGTGAGAGCCAAAAGGCCAAAATTTGTTGATTCTGCCCTCAATTTCTTTTAACTGCCCTAAGCACACACCCCCAATTCATATATTGTTTCCATTTTATACTTTCCCTTGGACTTGACCCATATAAACACACACAAAGTCTTGTTTTTTTTTTTTTTTTTTTTTTTTCTGTGTAATAGAGGACTTAACACATCTGAATTACTCTACAGTAAGAACTTGTGTCTGAGCCAAGATTAACAGCCGCCAAGCAAAACATACCCAGCAATGAATAACTCACAAAGATTTGGCAAAGAAAAAGTAAAGTTATATGATGAAATATATTACTAAGGTATAGGATTTTATTTTCCAGTGTGTAATCTGTTAAATTCACACACCTCAAATGGGTTCGAGGCTTCTGGTGATTGTTTCTTTGAAATTTAATATGCTATTTTCAGGAACAGCTGAGATATAATGATAATAAAAGAGCAATGAAATCTTCGGTTTAAATACTGGCTCTGCCAAACATTTGCTAACTACATGACCTCATGTCTTCTTTCTAAGGGTTTACTTCTCCAGCAGTCAAATAGAGTAGTGATATGAAACTGATCAGATATGAAACTGATCATCTTATTGAAGGGTTGAAATAATATATATATATATTTATACATATATGTGTATATATTTATACATACACACACACTCCAATATCCAACCCAGAACCTAGTATGCCAGTTTTCTTCCTTCTTCCTTCCTTCTTTCCTTCCAGGACCAATTTATATGGGGACTCTATCACACTTTTAAGCTTCATCTTTTTTTGTTTGTGGTGAGTCTTTAAGTGTAAAATATTGTCTTCAAAAGGAACAGCAATACCATGAATTAGCCAGTTACAGATAACTCTTACTGCAAGATTGGATTTTTTTTTTTTAGATTTATTCATTTATTTGAAAGGCAGAGTTACAGAGAAGCAGAGGCAGGGGCAGAGAAAGAGAGAGAAAGAGGTCTTCCATCTGCTGGTTTACTCCCCAGATGGCCACAACAGCTGGAGCTACACTGATCTGAAGCCAGGAGCCAGGAGCTTCTTCTGGTTTCCCACGTGGGTGCAGGGGCCCAAGGAATTGGACTATCTTCTACTGCTTTCCCAGGCCATAGCAGAGAGTTGGATTGGAAGTGGAGCATCCAGGACTCGAACTGGCACCCATATGGGGTGCTGGCACTGCAGGCGGTGGCTTTACCCGCCATGCCACAGTGCCAGCCCCAAGATTGGGCGTGAATAGCAGAGAGAGTGCATATGTAACTCAAAGTCAATGAGTTTGGAAACATCTTTTATTTAAAGGTAACAATTAGGAAAGCAAAGGGAAGGAGATCAAAGAACCACACAAGGCCTTCAGAAACCAAGCTGAACCTCTGATCTTAGCAGCCATTTGCTGGTAAGAATTTCAGTAGATATTTGAGTGGCTACAATATGTAATATGTTGTATAAGCATTGAGGCTACAAGGAGAGCAAAATAGCAAAAAATAACTACTCTATCCTTGTTCCCTTAGAATTTTTATAGTGATTGCTTCATGTCCCAATTCCAATTGTTGATTGCTGCCTGGAGTGCTAGTTTAAAATGGTTTCTGAAACTTAGTTGAATTCATTGGGAAGAATGCTAGGATCCGTTAATATTATTTGCTTGAGCAAAAGACAAAAATAGTGGTAATATAAGATTTGTTAGTCCTCTGGTACAATGTTTTTCCAAATGTAGGTATGACTCATTGATACATCATTAAATCAGTTTTGTGAGTCACCATCAGCATTATTTAAGAAATGAAATAGTGAAATATTAGAGTGCATTGACATAGTAACAGTAAAAGTATTGCTTTGTAAAAACTTTTAGTTATGTATTATTGGGTACTAGGTGAGTATGCTGACCTCATAAACTCCCACTCTTTTCTTTCTATGTTCATACTTTCTTTACTTCTTCCATTATTTTTTTTTAAATTACAGGACACATTTGATAGTTTGGGCCCTATTAATCAAAACTGTAGAATGATCATTCATTCTAGTAGTCACTCTGCAATACATGATATGTTTAGCCTTTGACCATACTTACATTAGAGTTTTCATGATTTGGTTAGGCGGTTAATTGTCTTATTTATAGTGATTTCTGGTGGGAGGCAAAATAACCAAGTATTTAAAAGCCTAGGCACTAAAGTGATTCTTGCTTTTCAGTAGACTATGCCACTTTATGGATGTGTGGCCATTTAAAATGTTGACTTTGTGATCATCAAAACTTGTATTTGTGTGCACTCACACATGTGAATGCACACACACACAGGGAACACCTTGTTTCAGAATTTCTCAGTTATGTATTTAGGACAACACAGATATATGCACTTCTGTGCATGGTCAAATCATTATGTCGGCCGGCGCCGTGGCTCACTAGGCTAATCCTCCGCCTAGCGGCGCCGGCACACCGGGTTCTAGTCCCGGTCGGGGCGCCAGATTCTGTCCCGGTTGCCCCTCTTCCAGGCCAGCTCTCTGCTGTGGCCAGGGAGTGCAGTGGAGGATGGCCCAGGTGCTTGGGCCCTGCACCCCATGGGAGACCAGGAAAAGCACCTGGCTCCTGGCTCCTGCCATCGGATCAGCGCGGTGCGCCGGCTGCAGCGCGCTGGCTGCGGTGGCCATTGGAGGGTGAACCAACGGCAAAGGAAGACCTTTCTCTCTGTCTCTCTCTCTCACTGTCCACTCTGGCTGTCAAAAAAAAAAAATCATTATGTCACATGGCAAGAATTTGTAGAAATAGCATTAGAGATAACCACAGAAAATAAAAATGCTTTTGTATTTCACATATGAAATATACACACACCATTTTCCACTTGACAAAGCGTCTGTTGGTCCTATTGAATTCCAAAAGTGTAGAGAGAAAAGGATAGAAGTGATTGTGGTAGAGGAGAATATTTGGAAACATCAGGAAAGAAGATTGGGAATAAGAGAGTAAGAAGCAAGGTTATAAAGAAAGGCCACATGTTATCTGTTTCATTTCTGGTTCCAAGTGCAAAGTGGTCACTTAAAAAAAAAAAAACAAAAACAAACAAACAACAAAAAAACCCAGGGGCCTGGCATTGTCTGTCATGTATTGGTTTAAGCCACTGCTTGAGCACCAGTTCGAGTCCTGGCTGCTCCACTTCCAATCCAGCTTCCTGCTAATGAGCCTGGGAAAGCAACAGAAGGTTGCCTAAGTCCTTAGGCCCTTGCACCCATGTAGGAGACCCAGAAGGGGCTGTGCCAGGCTGTTGCAGTCATCTGGGAAGTGAACCAATGGATGGAAGATATCCCCTCTCTCTCTCTCTCTCTCTCTCTCTCTCTAACTCTGCTTTTCAAATAAATAAAATCTTTTTTAAAAAGTTAAACAGTAGTTCATAATTAGGGAAACCCTGCTGCATGGCTTCTGTGACTGTTCCTAGAATAAGAACTAGGTAAATCTAAGTATGCTTTTAAGAAATTATCGTAACTACCTTCAGTTTGGAGCAAGAAAGAATTTGATTTGATTTTGGTCCTGTTACTTCTTAGCTCTGTGGCCTTCAGCAATTCACTTCACTTCTTGTTTCCTTAATTCCATCACATCTGCAATGGCTTCTCTCAGATGTAAAACGTAGTCACACATTTTATAGGTTGATTGCCAATATTAACTGAAAGCTTATATGTACAATAACTGCCACATGGTGAGTGGCCAAGAAATGCTTTCCACAACCCTGTGTCTTATTTGAAAAAGTCAGATTTGGAGTATATTTTTAAAATGTAAGCAACTTCTATGTAAGCACATATGGAGATATTATGGACAAGATCAATAAGAACATTAAGTAAAACTTTCCAAAAGGACCTTCACCTGCAAAGGAGTTGTCACACCCTGCCTGTGTACTTATGGCTACCTGCTTTCCTTGTTGCAGAGAACAGAGGAAAAGGAGCTCACCAAGGCCATCCCTTCCACTGCCTGGCTTAACTTTCTACTGCATGGCAAATTACACGCCAGATGAGCAGTGGTGCATCATGCACATTTAATGTAGATTTGGTATTTCTTGTAGGTTAAGAAATTAAGGTTTTACAAAAGACCTTTTTTTGCTTCTTTGATAGGTTAAAAGAGACAATTAGACTATTCAGCCTAGTCTAATGAAGATTCCATCCAAACTTTCACATCCTAAGAGTCTGATCCCTTCTGCAATTATGTTGTGATATCTATAGCATCCCTGTTAGCCCTTCTTCTAATGTGTTATCCTTAAAGCCTTTTTAGTTTCTGGTTAATTGAGTTGGTAACTATACTTACGATTACAACATTAGCAAATAGAGCTGTTCAGTCCCTGACTGTTTCAGTCCCTACCTCCTAAAATGGGTAGCTGTAGGAAAAGAGCCTTAGTCTGTTTTCCCCAAGAATTGCTGAAAACAGAACTTCTTCAAGAAATAATCCACACAGTGCCAAGTGACAAGCCACACTTGCATATGCATACAAGTGATGATATCTTTGTCCAAATAGGTACCTGTTATGGCATGTACATTAAAATTCTTCCAGAGACAGGAGCTTTGGGGAGTGAGCACTTTAAAATAGCACCTCTTTATTTGGTTACTGGGAAGGATCAACCAAGAGTTCCCCCTTGCTTGCCCAAGTGAAATATGCCACATCATGATTTCTCTGCTATTCCAAGAGTTTGCTTCCCTCTATGAATAACTTGATCGTATATTTTCTTTTCTGCTCCTCTGTAGATTGGCATTGTCTTCAGCTTTCCTGGAATTTTAAATGATAATTTTCTTGGGGCAAGTATTGTTGCAGAATAGGTTAAGCTGCTGTCTGGGATATCTGCATCCCAAATTGGTATGCCAGCTTGAGTCTCTGCTCCTCTACTTCTGATCCAGCTTCCTGCCCAAGTTCTTGAATCCTCACCACCCATGTGGGACACTGGATGGAGTTCTGGGCTTCTGGCTTCCGCCTGCTCCAGTCTTTTCTGTTGTGACCCAGCAGATGAAAGATCTTGTCTCTCACCATCTCTTTTATTCTGCCCTTCAAATAAATGTGAATCTTAGAAACAGTTGTTTTTCCTGCTTGGTTATTTAAGACTGTAAGAGATGGGAATGCTAACTTTATGAAATAGTTTTTAATTGCCACCTTGCATATTGTAGAACGTTTGATCACCACAGTTAAAATTCTGGGAGCTGCTGAACAAGGGATTGTCCCAGTAATGCCAAAGACAGCTGTTTTATCACCTTCCTAAACTTGGGACTATTACAAATATGCAGTGTTTTGAATGCAGAAAAGGCACTTGATAAAATTCCACATTCCTTCATGATTAAAAACTGAACAAATTAGATATAGAAGGAATGTACTTCAACATAATAAAAGCCACTTAGAACAATCCGGAGCTAATATATTACTGAATGGAGGAAAAACTGAAGATGTTCTCCATAGACTATTACAAAACAAGGATGCCCACTTTCACTAAGTTATTGAAATTTATGAATTAGTTTAACTTTATCTTTTAAGAATTACCTATTCAGAAGCATGATCTTTAGTACATATTATATGAAAGTTTTACATCTTTACTCACAACATACTCCAATTATGAGTCCTAAAGGAGTAAATGCTTTTTAAATTATATTCCCCTAGCCAGCTCTGTTCTACTGTTCTGCTAATATTGTGTCAGATTATTATAAGCAATGTGCTTCTCTTGAAATCTTTGAACACTTGATTATAACTTTGGGAAATCCCTGAAGATTCAGATAAATGCTAAATAATTAATAATATGAAAAACCAAAATTATCTTAAAAGAGAGCCACCAAAAAATTTAAAAATGGTTTTATTTATTTAAAAGCTGTTAGCCATCTCTTAACAATCTTTCAAAAAAATTGACACTCATTATCAAAATGATGGAAAATTTGAACAATTTTATTTCTGCTTTTTAACAGCGGGCATTTTATGCTAATCAACTTGCTAAGTTGGAAGACTGTTAGGGGTTTAACAGATTGAATGTCACTTGCTTCAGAAGACAGCCCCCAGTTGATTTTCTAGAGACAAAATTTTCTGATGTACTGTTGTGTCATCAATGCTTCTTACTTCTACAATTGTCCCCTGGACCCCATATATAAGGGTACTTCCAAAAGTTAATGGAAAATGGAATTTAAATATGTTTATCTTGAAAAAATTTTGAAATCTCTGCATACTCACATAAACACTGTATATTCACTTGATAAATGTAAAACACTGTGCTGTCTGGAAGTCCACACAATACGAAGGCTTCTTAGCATGCAAAGATACAGGGGATCTAATCTCAGCTTTACCACAGTTTATAATTTTCTGTAAGAAAATCACTAGGTTCCTCTAGATGCTTACTTAGATTCTCACTACTGGATTCACAAGGAGTTTGTCTTTTTGGAGATCGTTGTTTCAAGGCCTTTTACCGGTGCAGTGCGACATCCATAGCAGCATTTGGGGGGTGAACCAACAGAAGGAAGACCTTTCTGTCTGTCTGTCTGTCTCACTGTCTAACTCTGCCTGTCAAAAAAAAATTTAAAAATTAAAAAAGAAAACAACAGGAATTATAGTTGATCAAATTTCCATTGTCAGGTTTCTGATTATTTGGTACATAGAGTAAATGGACTGCTTTTCAGTATCTGCTTATTTGAGGGTAACACAGTGATGAAGCTGAATAGGGAATCTGTGTGGAGGATATAGTCCATCTCTCCTGGTTTTGTAGTTAGGGGAAATGTCACAATCACAAGGCTTTGAGATTCAGAATTGGGATTTCAAAATCAAAGGGATACAAATGGGGAAGGAAGAAGTCAAACTGTACCTATTTGCAGACAATATGATTCTTTCTTTAGGGGATCCAAAGAACTCCACTAAGAGACTATTGGGACCTATCCCTACTTTTGAATGCAATGTTTCCTTCACACTCAGTTCAGTGTTCTTACATGAATTGTGCTTATGGCATACAGTCGTGCAGGGCAAGATGTATGAAAATTGATTCTCTCTCTCTCTCTCTCTGTCTTGGCTTTGCATTTCCTTGAATGAAAATACAGACTATATTCTTAGATGTTCACTACTTCCTGACTTTGGGGAAAATGGAAGGATGGATTTAGAAAACATAAAGGTCACAGAAATTACAGAATGGCAGCTTCCTGTGATATTTTTAGTTTTTAAAATAATTATTACTGTTGACACATCTTACCTTCAAAGTGCTTGGAGAGTATTAATTAACTTTTTAAACTGTAAAGGAATTCATGTCAGTTCCCTCTTTCATAGTGAATCTATTAAAGCAGGTAGTATAAGATTGACCTATAACTGAGTTATAGTAAAATTGTTTAAAGATTTTTAATAGGATAGCTGAGCTTCAAGGAACAAAGATCTAAGTGGAGTAAATAATGTCCATCTTAGGAGGTAATTGAATTCATGCTGAAAAAAAAGCTGAGTTTATTGTCTTGGCAAATAAATTCATAGGCAAATAAAACCCCTCAATGGTATGAGAATTAGACTGGGTTTAATTTGATTTTCCCTGTATTCAGGAAGTATAGTGATGCCTGATGTCTAGATTAAGCATTTTATAGATTTTTTTTTTTTGACAGGCAGAGTGGACAGTGAGAGAGACAGAGAGAAAGGTCTTCCTTTACCATTGGTTCACCCTCCAATGGCCGCTGCGGCCGGCGCACCACGCTGATCCGAAGCCAGGAGTCAGGTGCTTCTCCTGGTCTACTGTGCGGCTGCAGGGCCCAAGGACCTGGACCATCCTCCACTGCCTTCCCGGGCCACAGCAGAAAGGTGGCCTGGAAGAGGGGCAACCGGGACAGAATCCGGCGCCCCGACCGGGACTAGAACCTGGTGTGCCGGTGTCACAAGGTGGAGGATTAGCCTATTGAGCCGCGACACCAGCCAACATTTTATAGATTTTAATCCATGTAGCATATTAGTAAAGAATCTCTTTTTTCATACTTTAGAATTAGTAAAAAAATGACATCTAAAATTAACCCATTCAAATAAAATCTCATGGCCTAATGTGGATACATATTTTTGAAACAATGAATATTTGTATTCATTAAAATTTCAGAACATCCTATAATTTAAACATAATGTAATCCTTATACTGAACTTCAAAAAGATTTGTTTTCATTGAAGGTTTTATTTCTACAGTGATTATTCCAATATGGTATACATTATTTCTTGTTTAATTACTCTGCAAGCTACTCCCATTTATGCCATATCCTATGCTCACCTGCCCCTTAAACTCACACACACACACACACACACACACTATGGGCAAGTATCAGCAGTGAGTTAATATTTAACTCTTATGGCAATGAGGAAGTGCTCTGGTAGATAAATCCAAGACCCTGGACACTAACAATCCTTCTTAAGCCTTTCCACATAATGAGGGCAACTGATAGAATACAATAAAAAGAAACATCTTGCAATATATATATATATATATATATATAATTGTTATATTATTGCAATATATATATGTGTATATATGTATAATATATATATATGTGACTGTAATTCTAGGTATGTCCAGGATAGTCCATGGTTATCCAAGCCTTAGTTGGCTCATTCACAATATGGTCTCAGTTAAAAAGAAAACAAAAACTAGCCCAATCTATGTCACATAGTGTGTTTTCTATAAATGCATATTCCCTGTGGTCAAAATCAAGAATCCTAAAAGTTTCTGTTTTAGGAGAAAGAGAACAGACATAATTCTGTTTAGTTCCTGGCTATTTCATGCCTGAGCACTTTTGCATGGCATCATGGTACATCCTGCCCTACCTGGCTTTTCAACTTGGTTAGTTTTTAGAATCCTGTTCTGTTATCAGTTTCTCTCGGAAGCTCTCTAGGACCGTCTTTTAGAGGAAATTCTTCCGTCCTTTTCCTGTATGTCTCTAGATAATTCTGTGTTTGTATCTGAGTGATGCATTATTTTTTATCTGTCCACCTTCCCTACTTGGTCATCAGCTCCTCAATGCACCAGATTCATCTCTGTTCTCTCTTCCCTGGTATGTAAAGGTTAAGAAATAAGTCTTTGTTGAGGTGAAATGAAATGAAAATCACCAAAAAATCTTTAAGATTCAATTTAAAATGCAACGTAGCAGTTTCTTTCTTTCTTTTTTAAATTACTGAGCTTCATTTTTCAAAAAGTTTGTTAAAATCTCATTTTTCTATAAAAAGTAAATAACTTAATTGCATAAATTTTGGAAAGCCTAACTGCAAAGAAATTAAAGATGTTCATAAGTGTTATTCCACTACCCAGAGAGAAACATTGTCAACTTTTTGATATATTTCCCCAATCTTTTTACTTAAACATATAAATAAGTATATACATATTTATTTAAACCACATTGGGATTTTCTAGCCTATGCTATTTAGTAACTGCTTTGCTTTTTGCCAAATAGTTTGTAATTATTTTTAAATATCAGTAAATATTCATCTAAAACATTTTAATACTTCATTGCATTTCATCTCATGGACTTACTATGGTTTGTTATTGAAAATAGAAGTTTTTTTTTCAGTCTGTTTGTTGTTATAAATCATTCTGTGTGAACTTCATGTGTGCATGATTGAATAATATTCAACCAGTTTAGCTAGACCAGTGGTTAAAATATTGAACTATTTCCATACTGATTGGAAAATAGTCCCAGCCCAGCAATTCATGCGTCTCTCCCCTGTACCTCTCCTTCTGAATTCCTGATGATTTAGTAGCTAAGGGGTTAGTGCATGGCACAGGAGTAGATGGCACAGGTGGCACCCATTCCAACTAGAACTGATCATAATATATGTCTAAAATAGTTAACACTCCTGAAACTTTGCATGAATCTCTCATTATATCTTTGAAGACCTAGAAGTGAAAATCTTTCATTAGTAAATATGTGTCAGGAGCCTGTGAGGAAACAGCTCATTCAAGTTTGGATAAATCATGGAGAGTTCAATAAAGGAACAAATTCAAATAGGGAATGGCAGAATGTAAGGAACTCACAGAGCTGGTAAGAGCAGGGACAGTTTCTACCCCAGTGCCTAAATGTGAGAGAAGGGAGTGGTTACAGGACCCTTCAAGGAGAGAATCTTTTGTGAGAAGCCCTGTGACTTTCAGTAGAGGGTGGCAGACAAGCTGGCAGCCCCGCAGGGAGGAAGCCTAGGAAATGGATATCTCAGCTCCCTTTGTTGCCTCCCATGTTCCATCAGGGCTCCTTGCTACCTCTAACAGGAAATCAGAGCTTGGGGGACACTATTTATATAGTGCCTATAGGCCAGTTTTTCAGGATGAAGAGTTAATTTGGAAAAGAGCCAGTGCACATTTGGTCTCTATTCCATAATAAGCATTTGCCTCCAGAAAAATGTTTTAGAACCTTAAATATAGGTTATGATCTGGATGTGAGTTGACTGTATTTTCTTTACATTGATTATCAATATTGACTCATAAAGGAATGCAATCTGGTGCAGTGTTGGGCAGAAAAAAATGACAGGGCTATAGAGTGCCTAAGCAATGCAGAGATAGAAAACCACTGAGGATGTGTGAGCACCTTGAAGAAACACATACTCCCCACAGAGTTCAGTATTACAAAGAGTGGGTGTTATTAACAGCAGAGAATAAGCATCCTCATGATCATCTAAATTCTTTTCAACATAGGACCGGTGGGCCAATTCCTGATATTCATGGTATGTTTTAAAATTTTCCCAGAGCAGACCTTTAAGAATATATCCCCTTATTCAAACTTATTTTTAGCCCCAGGAACCTTTCATGAACACTACTGAAGTTAGGAATGGTGTACCTTCCATTTTTCCTTCTCTAGTTCTGTCCCTGGGGACTTGGATGATTTGCTTAAAATCACACAGCTGGCTGGTTATAAAATCATACCCAAGACTTGACATCTCCTAACTGTTGATTCCACCTCTTTTATCTATAAAGATAGAGCCTTCTCCAGTAGTTATTGATGTATCATCGGAGTCTTGCCCTTATTCTTCCTGCACTAAACTAGTTATCATTGACAAGTACACCAGGGTGTAACCATACATCTCTCTCTGAGCCTTATATCTGTGGTTCTGTCTTCTGGCTACACATTATAATCATGTTGGAGTACCTTTATAAATATACCAGTGCTCATGTCCTGTCTCTAAGAGATTGTGATTTGCTCACAGTTCTGGGGTGAGATATAGGCAGGGGAGTTCTGGCATTATAGTTTTTTTGTTTGTTTTGTTTTGTTTTAAGATTTCATTTATTTATTTAAGAGGTAGAGGTACAGACAAAGAGAAGAAGAGAGAGGGAGAGGTCTTCCATCTCCTGGTTCACTCCCTAAAGACTGCAATGGCCAGAGCTGGGCCAATCAGGAGCCAGGAGCTTCTTCCAGGTCTCCCATGCAGGTGCAGGGGCCCAAACACTTGGGCCATCCTCTGTTCCTTTCCCAGGCATATTAGCAGAGAGCTGGATTGGAAGAGGAGCAGCGGGACATGAACCAATGCCCATATGAGATGCCAGTGCCACAGGTGGAGGCTTAGCCTACTATGCCACAACGCCTATCCCAAAGCAACATAGTTTTTAAAAGCTCAAAGGATTCTAGTGAACAGCAAGCGCTGAGAACCTCTGTTCCATTGGAGAACCAGGAAGCACTACAACTCCCAGAAAGGGGGGAGGTTTATTTAGGTCCAACCCCAGGCTGTAGCTGTATTCTCAGCAGTTCCATCTTATCCACCTCATCAGTGATTGTGGAATTTTGGGGAAATGGAAAATAAGCCTTTCTTCTGGAATAAGATTGGAGTCTAATTTTGTGACATATATATTGGATCTAATTTGCTCATAATTGTGTTATTTTTAAGAAATATTTCGGGCCGGCGCTGCGGCTCACTAGGCTAATCCTCCGCCTAGCGGCGCTGGCACACCAGGTTCTAGTCCCGGTCGGGGCGCCGGATTCTGTCCCGGTTGCCCCTCTTCTAGGCCAGCTCTCTGCTGTGGCCAGGGAGTGCAGTGGAGGATGGCCCAGGTGCTTGGGCCCTGCACCCCATGGGAGACCAGGAAAAGCACCTGGCTCCTGGCTCCTGCCATCGGATCAGTGCGGTGCGCCGGCCGCAGCGCGCCCGCCACAGCGCGCTGGCCGCGGCGGCCATTGGAGGGTGAACCAACGGCAAAGGAAGACCTTTCTCTCTGTCTCTCTCTCTCACTGTCCACTCTGCCTGTCAAAAAAAAAAAAAAAAATATTTCAAGTCAGAGGTAAATTGAGTAATAAAAACTCTAGTGAAATAAAAACAACAGCCTTTGTATACACAATAAATGCCAAGGCTGAGAATGAACTTCTAAGATCAATCCCATTTACAATAGCTACAAAAAAATCCCAAATACATTGGAATAAAATTTAACAAAATATGTCAAAGATCTCTACGATGAGAATTGCAAAACCTTAAAGAAATAGAAGAAGATACAAGAAAAGTGAAAAAACCTTCCATGTTTATGGATTGGAAGAATCAATATCATCAAAATGTCTGTTCTTCTGAAAGCAATTTACAGACTCAATGCGATACCAATCAAAATGCCAAAGACATTCTTCTCAGATATAGAAATAATGAGGCTGAAATTTGTATGGAAACACAGGAGACCTTGAAGAGCTAAAGCAATCTTACACAACAAAAACAAAGCTGGAGGTATCACAATACCAGATTTCAAGACATACTACAAGGAAGTTATAATCAAAACAGCCTGGTACTGGTACAAAAACAGATGGATAGACCAATGGAACAGAATAGAAATGCCAGAAATCAATCCAATTATATTTGACAAAGGAGCTAAAATCAATCCCTGGAGCAAGGCCAGTCTCTTCAACAAATGGTGCTGGGAAAACTGGATTTCCACATGCAGAAGTATGAAACAAGACCCCTACCTTACACCTTACACAAAAACCCACTCAGCATGGATTAAAGATCTAAATCTTTGACCCGACACCATCAAATTATTAGAGAACATCAGGGAAACCCTCCAAGACATTGGCACAGGCAAAGAGTTCTTTGAAAAAAAAACTCCAGAGGCACAGGCAATCAAAGCCAAAATTAACAAATGGGATTGAGAAGTTTCTGTACTGTAAAAGAAACACTCAGGAAAGTGAAGAGGCGACTGACAGAATGGGAAAAATTATTTGCAAACTATGCAACTGATAAAGGATTAATAACCAGAATCTACAAAGAGATCAAGAAACTCCACAACAACAAAACAAAAAACCCAGTTAAGAGATGGGCAAAGGACTTAAATGGACATTTTTCAAAGGAGGAAATCCAAATGGCCAACAGACACATGAAAAAATGTTCACGATCACTAGCTGTCAGGGAAATGCAAATCAATACCACAATGAGGTTTCACATCACCTTGGTTAAAATGGCTTTCATATAGCAATCAACAAACAACAAATGCTGGCAAGGATGTGGGGAAAAGGTACCCTAATCCATTGTTGGTGGGAATGTAAACTGGTAAAGCCACTATGGAAGACAGTATGGAGATACCTCAGAAATCTGAATATAGACCTACCACATAACCCAGCCATCCTACTCCTGAGAATTTACCCAAGGGAAATGAAATCAGCAAATAAAAGAGGTATCTGCATTCCCATGTTTATTGCAGCTCAGTTCACAAAAGCTAAGACATGGAGTCTACCTAAATGTCAACTAAAGACTGGATAAAGAAATTATGGGATATATACACTATGGAAAACTACACAGTAGAAAAAAATGAAATCCAGTCACTTGCAACATGAAATGGAAAACACCATACTTAGTGAAATAAGCCAGTCTCAAAGGGACAAGTACCATATGTTCTCCCTGATCTCTGAGAACCAACGGAGCACTTAAAAGAAAATCTGTAGAAGTAAAATTGACACTTCAAGAGGGGATGACTTGAGTGGCCCTTATCGTGACTCACTGTTGAGGAATAATTTTTGTTTTCTTTTTCTTTTTTTTCCTTCATACTATTTGTTGAATTCTTTACTTGACATAGAGTTAATCATATGTGTATAAAGTCAATTGAGGATGGATCTCATTAAAAAATCAGAGTGGGAATAAGAGAGGGAGGAGGAAGTTTGTAACTGTAAAACTATATGGTTCTGCATACATCCCTACAGACTTACTTCTGAGGGTATAGTTTAAAAACTTGCCATGGAACTCCAAATCCCAGTAAGCTTGGTGATAAAAATGCCATCTTAAGTGTTAAGGTAATCATATTAAGTGTTAAAGTGAACATGTATATAGGATCAAGTGTCTGGCAATATTAATAGATAGCATTAAAAGGGAGAGAATGTTCCAACATAAGAAGCAGTCCACAGAGCAGACTCATAGAATGACAATTCCTTTAAGTAACACTCTGACCTTAGAATAAGCCCTTAAAGCATCCTAGTCTGGCTGGAAAGCCCATGAGAGCATTCCAGGCATGGAAAGCCAAGAAATCATGGCAAAAAAATGTTCCACATGAAGGATCTCTGTGAGTGAGACCCCAGAGGAAAGAAGTGGCCATCAAAGAAGGATGTTCTTTTCTCTTAAGGGAGGAGAGAACTTCCACTTTTCTTATAGCCTTGTCTAAGTAATGACTGATTTTGTGGATTCAAAAGCCTAGATAGCCTAGATAGCTCATGTCAAGAGGTGATCACTGATGTCATACATGAGTGTTAATTGTTAAATTAACAACAGGAGTCACTGCACTAACTTCCCATGCAGGACCTCTGTTTTTAATGAGTTGTATTATGAGAGTTAACTGTAAAACTTGTTCTCATTTTTTGTGTGTGTCTTTGTGTGCAAATTGTTGAAATATTTACTTAGTATAGTTAGTCTTCTGTGTACAAAGTTAATTGAAAATGAATCTTAATGGAGAATGGGACTGGGAATGGGAGAGGGAGGAGGGGGATAGAAGTTTGGGTGTGAGGGCAGGGACAGTTTGAAGAATAACTATATTCCTAAAGTTGTAGTTACAAAATTTGTATTCATTAAATATTTCTTTGGAAAAAAATAAACTCTATTACAAAGACAAATATCTGCTTATAATGTGTGCTTGAAGATGTAAAGAGGTATGTTTCCAAAGATGTTATCCCACCGTACACTTTAAGTATAAATTTGCTATATATTTCTGCATTTATTTAAAAATAAATGTTAATATTTAAGTTAATTTTAGTTAATTTAAGTTAATATTAATTGGGGAACATATACAATTTAATCAGGGGTATTCATATTTCCAATGTTTCTGTGATGTCTCAGTAGAATTAAATGACAGTAAATTTCAGTACTGTTACTAGGCATAACAAGAGAATAGTATTTCTAAAAATACATGTTTCTTCCTTATAAAAGTAAATATTGTAAAGATTTTATGTGAGACATAGTTATTATATGAAGACATTTCTAAAATGTATGGCCTAGTGTTTCAAATGGCTAAACAATAAGTTGTAAAATTTTTTTTGGTTTGCATTTTCTTTTTACCAGCATGCTCATGATACCTACATAGTTCTTGGTTCTATCCTGACCGTCCCATTATGTTTGAAAAGTGCCTTATGTCATATTTGCTTCCTCTGAGTTCATTCTGCTCTATGTCTTTATTTCAGTTCATTGTTTTTACAGTAGTAGTTTCTTTGCAATGTAATAAGTAGAACAGTTTGTGTTTCCTTCTGGCATCAATCGAAGTTGAAGTCACCTTGCTGAAACATTCTCCATTCCTTTTAAAGTATTTTTTGCTTGCTAAAAATCTAGAAGAGAAAACTATTATAAAATAACTAGGAAAACTTTTCCCCTATTTCTGTCCTAAAAGAGTAAATATGCATTTACTTATTTTAGATGCCGTGTGTTAATTAAATCCATTAATGGCTGTCATCAGGAAATGAAATTGTTTTGATTTTGTGCTTCTTGTGTATTAGAGAGAACATTCTTAGGCTGGCATCATAATCAAAGATAATCTCTCTTCATACAGGCAAAAACAAACAATTTTAATTAAGACTATGTGAATAGCTCTTTAAATAAATAAAATAAAAAATAAACAGATTTGCAGTAATGTACCTAGCTCTGTGAAAAATAAAAATGCCAAGGACAGGGGCTTCTTCAGCATATGGGTGAATAAACACTTTTCCCTTGTGGTTGTATCTGATTACCGGATGCTGGTGGGAGAAGTCACACAGAAGGCCAGTGGTGACAGTTTGAGTCTGATACTGCCACAGTGGCCCATGGGCAGCCCTGATAGCACTCTACCAAGTCTCAGTACTGTTGGGACTTTGCTTCTCTTCACTCCAGTAAGGGGTGTATCTTTGGTTCTCCAGATTTATTTTGGTTTCCTTGTCTCCTCTCTTCTTTATCTTAAGTTTGAGATTCTTATGGCGACTTATGCCTTAAGTGATTTCTACACTTTAAGAAGTATTTCCACAGCACTTTAACTTGTTTAGACAAAACATCTGAAAACATGAACACTTACTCTCATTCTTATTTAACATGTATTAATATTTTTCTTTCCTTGGTGAGTATTAAGATGAAAGAATTTTAGCCCTGGATAGGACTTTGGCAATACATTTAGTGAATGAGTAGCATAACTGGAGAAGGTACCAAGGAAAAACATGCATTATTTTGTTTTTAAATGAAGCAGAATTCCTCTCATGAACTAGATTTGGGTTATGAAGCATCAATGCTGCACATTCTCCACAAAGAGACTAAAACGGGAATGATGATGCTTGCCTGCAGGGCTTTGGGGAAGCTTGGAAATAATTCCATAATAACATGTATAAAGCCCAGCATCCTGTCTGCATAGAGCAGAAACAAATGACAGCTGTTGTTGTTGGTATCACTTCTGTTCTCTCCTACAGACTGTCTACCCCTCCCCTCCCAACCCTGGATTCCTTGTAACCTGTTCACTCTGACCTTCACTTCCGTCTCTTTGATGTGGGCAAGCCATATTCTTTCCCAAAAGCCCCTCTGGAATCTAGCTCTTTGTGGAACCTTGGTAGTCTGTAGGTCTGAAAACTGCCTTAGTGGCTCAGGGCATTCAGTTTAAATTAGAACAAAAGCCTCTTCAAAACTAAACAGTGATTGTGCCCCGTTTGCTGATATTCCCTTATCCACAACACCAAAATAACCTACAAGGGAAAATTTCAAAATAAACAAGTAAAATCCTCCACCAAATATAACTCAGAATTCCTTAGTCTGTTTCTTTGTTAGAGTAAGGCATTTATCCTAATTTTTTTTTTTTTCTCAGTGTTTTTTAATTTGCTGTTTGAAAGGCAGAGTCAAAGAAAGGTCCTTATTTGTCCGCTCCCCAAATGCCCACAACAGCTGGGACTGGGCCTCACCAGAGGCAGGAGCCTGGAAATCAATCCAAGTCTCCCACATGGTCATCAGGATCCCAGTCACATGAGCCATCCTGCTACTTCCTAGAGTGTGCAACAACAGGGAGCTGAATTTGGAAGCAGAGCTGGGACTCAAACTTTGGCACTCCAGTTTGGGATGCTGGTATCCCAAGCAGTGCTTTAACTGCTGTGTCAAATATTACTATCACAATTTTGTTAGTCTGTTTGGACTGTCATAACCAAACAGCATAGACTAGGTGGGTTGCACATGGTTTATTTTATGTTTCATAATTCTGAAGTCTAGAATCCATAGCAAGTTTCCAGCTGATCTGGTTTCTAGTAAGGGCTCTCTTTCTGGCTTGCAGATGACCAACTTCTTGCTATGCTTTTATACAGCCTTTCCTCACTATATGTGTGTGTAAACAGAGAAAAAGGACTAGCTTTCTGGTGTCTCTTATAAAGTCGCAAATCCTGTTGGATCAGGTCCACACCTTAGATCTCAGTTTAACCTTAATTAATTCCATAGAGGCACAACCTGCAAATATAGCCACACAAGAAGCTAGGGCTTTAACATGAATTCTTGGGGTAGGGGAAGACAAACATTTAATCTACAACACTAATCATTATCCTTTATTTGATAACATTTACTCATTATACAAAAGACTAGAAAAAGTGGAAAAAAACTGATCGCATGTTTGCATTGAAGATTTATTATTTGCTAGCTATTGTGGTAAAGCATACATACATTCTTTTCTTATATACATTATCTCATTTGTTTCTCATACAACCTTGTAAGGTAAGCATTGTCTGTATTAGAGATAGAAAAACAAAGCTTAGATAATTTAAGTAATTTGCTTTTTATGCCGTTTTCAAGTACATGTTAGGGTTGGGACATAGTCTTCTGTCATGCAGCCTATATCCTAAATCACCATAACATTACTATCAAATTATGGTGATAATTGCATGATGTGACCAAAACAAATGATGTAGCCAACTTCATTGTGCACTGCAACATCACTTGACCAGGAAGTGGATACAGGCGGAATTGGGGCCATCATTGTAATCCATCACAATATTCTTATTATACTTTGTACATAACTTGATCACAGGATTTAGTAAATTATGTGGAAATATATACTGTACTAAAGGTTTCACCTCATCTCCAACTCCCACTTGGGAACCCACTGTGAGGTCCTGTCTTCAGCAGAGTTCCAGGTTTATAATAAATGCCAAATAAACATTAACTGAATGGAATTATTAAGTGGGATGATGACCTTGGGCTGTTTCTTTGTGATAATGAAACTTTCTCACCCTCAACTTAATCATTTATAAGTAGGAGATAATAATACTTACCACAGTCATGTTTCTAGCTTTAAGTAGAGAAAAATATATATATACTGTTTACTCAGAAAAAATAGTTGCTTCTTTCCCCATCCCCACATTTTTTCTTTTTGCTGGATTTATATGAATTTTTAAAAATAGGGAGTTGTTTAATTTTAGTCATTTTGGGCAAGTGGTGCTGGAGTCATAGATCTCCCTATTAAAATATCTTCTATATTTTCTACTAATTAAAAACTAATTTTGTATAATATTGATCTAAAAACTTTAGGCCCCTTCAGAGACTTAAAATTAACTACTTATAGTTTATCTTGAATTCCTATAATGATGGATTTCCTCTCGCTCATTCTAATAAAGAACATATTCAAAAAAGGAAAGGGGAGTTTAGAATGAGTAAAGGAGTATAATTTTGGGAAATGGACTCTTTGAGGGAAGTCTAGGCTAATAAATAGCATAGTGGGGGTGAGCAGGGGTGGGATGTGTATTGGACAGGCACAGGGAAGAGAGTATGTGGTCATCAAGCAGACAAGATTGGGGCCTAGTGAGGCAGGCAGGGAACAAAAATCTAACTCATTTTGCCAGTTTTTCTTTAAGTATATTGTTCCAGCCAAGGGATTATTTCTAATGTGTGATAAAAATTTGCAGTGTGTGTTTTTAATATTTCTAAATTTAAAACAGTTATATCCATTTTTGGTGTTTTTCTTCCATAGAAAGAAATTATATGAAAATTAAAACTACATATGTGGGGCTGGCGCCGCAGCTCAATAGGCTAATCCTCCACCTTGCAGCACCGGCACACCAGGTTCTAGTCCCAGTCAGGGCGCCGGATTCTGTCCCGGTTGCCCCTCTTCCAGTCCAGCTCTCTGTGTGGCCCGGGAGTGCAGTGGAGGATGGCCCAAGTGCTTGGGCCCTGCACCCACATGGGAGACCAGGAGAAACACCTGGCTCCTGGCTTTGGATCAGCACCGTGCGCCGGCCGCAGTGGCGATTGGAGGGTGAACCAACGGTAAAGGAAGACCTTTCTCTCTGTCTCTCTCTCTCACTGTCAACTCTGCCTGTCAAAAAACAAAAAACTACATATGTGTATGTAAAAATCCATACATATACATATTCATATTCAGTCTTGCTATTGTAAAGACACTTTGAAAAGCCTAAATATCATGAATGCCTTTTCTTTTCCTGATTAGTCCTATAAGTCATCTATTTTATTCTAAAAATATCGATTTTCCAGTATTTCTCCTCAGTAACCTCATGGTTGGGTGTTTAAACACAAATGAATTGAAAATATTTTACAGTAATTATTTTTCCCATATGGGAAATTGTTGTTTATGAATAAGAAGTAACTGAGTGTGCAGTGTCTGGCATTAAGGTGTGGGCTTCTCCATAGGTTTTGTGCCTCTCCTTTGGCCATGAGGTTGCCTTTGACAATTTGTGAGATGCTGTTTATTCATTTGAATTTGCTTCTTTCTTTTTTACAATACCCCCACCCCCAGTTGTAGTGCAGACGCACATCTGGCTTCTATCAGTTAGGGAGTAGCTTTAAGCACATCCTGTTAAATTGTCTGTTCCCAAAAGCAATACCAACACATTCATTGAATGTTATTTTTTTTCCCCACAGTCATGTTCTTGATTGGACCACAAATTTTTCCATAATTCTGTACTTGAAAAATAGGATATTCTAGCTCTTTATACATAATCAGCTCATCCAACTCCATCCTTATATAAAAACTTTTTTTTTCTAAATATGCACCATTAGGAAAATTGTATTCTAGTTCTGAAAAGATACACTGAGTATTTGTGTTTTGGTTAACTGTGAATTGTTCTCATTCTTCATGTCTGCATACTAATTGGATACAACAGGGAAATTAAAAAAGGACCCAAGTTTCAACAGTGAAAACTTTTTTAATGGGACAGGGTAGTCTTCCTCTATACTTTTATACTACAAATTGGAAAATTATTTGACCATGTAAAAAATTTCCTCCTGTTTTTGAATATGCAAATAAATAGGAAAAAGAAGTTAGGGCATGAATTATTGTATTACTCTGCCTTTTCCCTTTGATTGATCTTCATATAAAGCAGCCTATATGACTTCTCAGACATCTGCTACATCCAACTAGTAAATCAGAAAATGCTAGTATTCAGTGGTCTTTACAAAGTGAATCTGTAATTTTCATATGAAAAAGCTAAAAATGTCACAAGTAACTATTTTTTTCAAATATGTATCATGTCATTTTAAAATAATGCAATCTGCAGCTACTTCACAATTAAAAAATAGTAGGTATTAGGAATATTGAAAAGACAGAGTGGGCATTTGGCAGCAGTTAAGACACTCTGAGTTTGATTCCTGGCTACTCCACTCCTGATTCTGCCTTTCTGCTGTTGTTCACCCTGGGAAATAGCAAGTGATGGCTCAAGTACTTGGATTCCTGTTACACACATGAAAGATTCAGATTGAATTCTGTCACCTAGCGTTGGCCTGGACCAGCCCTGAATGTTCTTGGCATTTAGGGAGTGAACCAGTGGATAAGAGATCTGTGTTTGTCTTTCTGCCTTTCAAATAAATAAAATAGATCAGTAAACAAGGTTTTAAAAAAAGGAATTTTTTGGAGAAGTTTACTCAGCTAAGTCTTCTTGATTTAACGATATATTTCATTACCTAATCTGTCTTTTATTTGCCATTGATTTTAATCCATTGCTCTGTGCTTGATAAGCCAAAAACACCTAAATATCTTCAGTTAATAGATCATGCTATCAAATTGAATCGTATTCTAGAAAGTTAATTATTACCTTATCTACCAGTTTCCTAGCTTCAGGACAAGATTTACAGGGTCTTGTGCAATTGAAAATTCATAACTACCTGCACCATCACAGGAAGTACACATTATGTCCTTCACGTTTATAAGTCAGAGACTGTGTATGTATCTAGTACCTGCCTTAGGAAACACAGAACTTTGCTTTCTAGAGTCATTCAAGTTAGTATGTTTCTTCTTTACCTGTACCATGGTAGCACTACATAAATAAATGTTTCACTTTTGTAGGTCTATCTTGTGCTCGTTTATTGCTTGTAAATAATTTTTATTAGTTTTTAAATAGAAACATGAAAGAAGGAAGACAAAAATATACTAAAATCCTACTCCATTGTTTTAAAAATAATCCAAAGCTTTTAAAATAATCACTCATGTATCTTTCTTATGCCTTAATCTTTTACAAGTATCACAAAATACTCTATTATTTTACCATACCATTATTTATTTAGCAAGTATCAATCATATAGGCAGTGAGCTAATTACACACTAAAAGGTGACAGCTTGGTATTGTTTAAGTACATATTAGTGGCAGAAATTGGACAAGTAGAATTATTAGAGTAAAAACTGTACTGAGAGTCACTAGGATGTGCTGTGTACTCTAAATATGACTTAATAACCTGCAGTTAACTGTCAACGACTTTGGACTTCATTGATTTAAAATTTTTGTCGGGATTTCCCCCTGCAGTTCACAAGAAGTCAGTAAACATTCTCAGAGTTCATCTTGGATCAAAGACCATTGAAGGTGCGGGGGACAAGAAACCAGCTGCAACTTTCCTGTGCTGAACTATGTCTTTAAGATTGGACCATCTAAGGAAGACAGACTGTGTTTGTGTCCAAAAACAAGCTTACATTTTTCTTTTAATGAGTGTGTTTTCCCTTCCTCAGGTGCAAGGGAAGATTGTGGAGAAGTAAAGCTCTGAAGAGACCTAGAATTGCTCCTTTAACTTGGATCTGGAGAGGAGGCAAGATGCTGGCATAGCTGTTGAACTGAGAACCTGCTATGCCAACATATTGCCATCTTTCCTGTCTGACAGCGTCCATGCCATCTGTATACCATTCCTCCATGTGTTACTATGGATGTGTGCCCTTCCTTGGACTTCTCCCCTCCTACCAGGCACTGAGTCATTCACTCTGTTCTAGCCACACTGGCCCCTCTGGCTGTTCTTTGGAAGCACGGAAGAACTCCCTGCCCCTTGGCTTGCTTGCTTCTTTCTAGTTGTTTGGATTGCAGTGAGAACATTGCTTGTGCAGAGAAGTCTCTCTTAACTACATTATCTAAAGGGTAGCTTCAGTTACCCTTCATCCCATTACTATGCTTTGCTTTTTCAAAAACGCAGGTTGGTACCTGAACATATTGTGTACTTTTTATTGTGTGTGTGACTGTTATCTCCTACACTAGAAGGTAAGCTCCTTGAGGCCAGTGTTATGGCATAGTGGATAAAGCCACTGCCTTTGATGCCAGCATCCCATATGGATGCTGGTTTATGTCCCAGCTGCTCTGCTTCTGATCTAGGTCCCTGCTAATGGCCTGGAAAAATAGTGAAGATGGTCCAAGTGCTTGGGCCCCTGCTACCCATGTGGGAGACACATGAAGCTCCTGTCTCCTGGTTTCAGCCTGACTCAGGCCTTGCCTTTGCAGCCACTTGGGCCAGTAGATGGAAGACATCTTGCTTTCTTTCTCTAACTCTGACTTTCAAATAAAGAAAGAAATCTTAAAAAAGGAAGAATGGAAGCTCCTTGAGGGTGAGGAAACTTCTCCTAGTTAACCACTATATCTCCAGAGCTTAACACATGGTAGACCCTCAATGCGTATTTTTGAAACTGTAAACATAGTCATAGAAGAGAGATGTCAAAAAATTATTTTCCTCATTATAAATGGCTTTGATGAAACCCTGGCTCACAAGTAACAAATAAATAAATAAATAAATAAATAAAGTTGAGTTCTTGGCACACAAAACATAACTTTTTTTTAACTTTTATTTAATAAATATAAATTTCCAAAGTACAGCTTTTGGATTATAGTGGCTTTTTCCCCCCATAACCTCCCTCCCACCTGCAACCATCCCATCTCCCACTCCCTCTCCCATCCCATTCACATCAAGATTCATTTTCAATTATCTTTATATACCGAAGGTCAATTTAGTATATACTAAGTAAAGATTTCAACAGTTTGCACCCACACAGAAACACAAAGTATAAAGTACTGTTTGAGCACTAGTTATACCATTAATTCACATAGGACAACACATTAAGGACAGAGATCCTTAAGTGCACAGTGACTCCTGTAAAACATAACTTCTTAAAGCAGTCACTATAAATGTATTACTGTGTCCACAGACTCATGGAAGTCAAATTATTACAGTGAGAAAATCATGGGCTTCAAAGTAAAATTTTCACCTATAACCCATATGTTTTTGGAAAAATCATTTGTCCTCTGAGCCACAGTTTTCTCAATTGTAAAATGAGAAGAAGAATATTGACCCCACAGGATTCTTGAGATTAAAAAAATAAGATATTTTATCCAGATGATTCTTACCATTTGTCTAAAGATTTAGTGTCTATCAAATTTCTGGTATATGCATCTTAGTAAGCACTCAACAATTTTAATAATTTTACTGCTAAAAAGTTAACTTTTTAATTAGAAACATAATCTTATGTGCAATGTGTGGAAATTCTATGTGGGAACTATAATACATAAAGAATTCTATGTCAAGACAGAAATTTTGAGAGGACAAAGAGTTTATTATCTAGGGTCTCAAATTCTTCTCTCCTGGTTAGTTTACAGTCTTCTTTTATTTCTGGAGTTTTCATAGATCTGCTTTAAGAGGATCTTTCACAGATTCACTTTAAAAAGTAAGAATGTTTAGTAAATACTATTTGATATGCATGTTTTTATGCATTAAGGTATTAGCAAGAATTTTGTATAAACTAAAATTCTTTGGATTATATTTGGATACTTTCCAAATAAATAAAATAACAGTATTCTCAACTATTATTATTTATTGTTATAGAGGGTATTATAGCTACCATATCCAGAAAGTGCTTATTGTACCTGTATTTCATGCTGCTTAAGACTATATTAATCTGAGCTATTAATTTAACAAAAATGTATAGCACAAAAGTATGGTGATTTTAGTCTACAAATTTTGTAAGTATTCTTGGGTGATCAGTTTAAAGACAATTTAAAATTAACTATGTTAGTATGAAGTACCTTAAACAGTGTTAAGTGCTTTTCTAAGGTATCTACAAATGTATTGCTTCTCTTTGTGACGTGTATATGCATCATCTTGTTTTTTCTTTCTATTATTGAAGTTTTTAGCCAGAAATAAATACACAGAATAATAGCCACAAGTCCTGGAAGGTCACTATACAAGCTCATGTTGCCCACAAAGACTTTCACGAACCCACATAGCAGCAATAGCTGAAAACAGAGCCATATCACCTTGTTCATTCTTTATCTTGATAGTGAAAGTAATTTGTCATAAGTCAATAGGCCTACCAGTTTTAAAAACTTGTTTCATGAGTTTGTTTTGTCTGCCTCTGCTTTTCCCAGATTCCCATATCCTCACCTACATCAATTACAGAGATACCCACTGTCCCCCTGACTTCAGTGCAATTGATGAGCTGGATTCCAAGCATGGAAATTAACTTTGAACTTACTTATATCAACCTTCCACATATGAATGTGTTTTATTATAATTACTAAACACCTGAACCTTCTTTTGTAATTCCAAGTGAACAATCAAGGAGAAGATACCTCAAAACCTGGGGCATGAGAAAATCAAAGTGAGAGGCTAAGAAATTCGTAGTCAAAAGAACCCAATAACTCTCCATGTCATTGGTTTTCAGACTTTCATGTTATACCTGTAAAGTTTGCTTAAAAATGCAGATCCTCAAACCATACCCTAAATTTTCTGATTTAATAGATCATAAGTAAGGCTTAAGAATATTCACTAAAATTTTAATTTTTCTATTTATTTTTATTTGATGCATAACAAGTGGGCATCATGTAGAAATCATTTTTAAGGTGCACCCTATTGATTTCAATCCAGTTTAACAATATTCTATATTTTGAGAATATTTTTCTTGCATCCTAAGTCAGAGGGCAGGTTTTTAGAAATCTTACATAGATCCCAGTAAGGAACTCGGGCATGCTTTTGAAATGAGCCTGCTGTCCCACTGCATCTGTGCTTATGGAAAACTGGAACAATGTTGTATAATTGTGCTTTATCCTCTGAGGTTTCTTATATAAACAGCCCAGATAACTGCACACAGGAGCATGGCACCATGGGTTGCCCATGTGCTTCTGCAGAGTTGTTTTTAACTTCAATATTCTTTTCTCCACTGGTTCACATTACAGTTTCCAAGATGTTTTCTTTTCTGATTGACTTGATCTTGACCCAAATCCTTTACCTCTAAATTTTCCTTTTTCTCTAGGATTTCTGTCAAATTGTAAGTGATACATGAGCTCCTTGAGGCTAACGACTAAGTCTAATTATGTAGAGGGTGAATTTTCAAGATTTATAGGAGACTCTTGCACTGGTAAATCTTTCTGTAAACCAAAAGATCATATCTTAATTGATTTATTTCTTTAGATTCTTGTGGTTGTTTTCTTTTAATTGGGCTGTCTAGTTCTATGTCAGACAATGAAAAGTAGAAAGATCTTCAGAATAAAATATAAAAAGATCTGGGCTCTAGCTGTATCATTTAAGCAGTAGACATGATTTGGGGAAGATCATTTTTTCTATTGTCTCATTTTTAAGTTGAGGGTAATTGTAGGAGAGATTATATGATATTTTAGAAAGAAAAAAGGGGAAACAAAAATAACAAAACTAAGTGTATAGGTAAAATGGAAGATAATTTACAAAAAGGAAATAGTTTGAGATTTTAGCAATAATTTTATTTAAAACTTTTTCATTCATTTATTTTTTGTTATCTAATTCAAATATGAAAAAAAAAAACCAAACAGTTCTAAGCAAGAGGCAGAAAACTTTTGTTCTCATCCAACCTGAATCACTTGCTGGTTTCAGTTGAAAAAGAAATGTGGTATTTGAGTTAGCTTTATCTGGAGGAAAAGTCCTGCTTTTCATATACTTTTTAAAAGTCTGTAAATACAATGATAATGATTCTATGACTTTGTCACTTTCTATCTCTTTGTCCTATTAAGAGACTCACATCAGATAAAGTATATGAAACTTTTGAAAATGATAAGAAATGCTGGAAATAGAGGATCTAAGGTATTGTATATAAATCTCTTCCAATCTTTCCCCCCTTCCCTTCACTCCTACAAAAGGTTGCTTTTGAAATGACTCGAGTTTTAATAAAATTCAACTGTTTTATTCTAAGCATGGTAATAATGTTTTCATTTGTAGGATTTTAATTACCATATGTTTGTAGCAACCAGACAGCTAGACCCATAGGAGATTTGCATGTTGGGCCCATCTGCTTTCAGCTATGACCACCTAGAAATGCAGATGCAGAGGTAGGAAGCCTAGGAGCATCCACTAAAATGGGTTTCCTGTTCCATCAACACCTGTCTCAAAACCACATTAACACCTATCTAGTACTGTTAATTCTCGCTGAAACTTAGATGATATTTATTCATATATGAATATTTTATTTTTTAATATCTACTAGAAAATATACATTGGAGTTTATTTTCAAAAGGAACTTTGTTGGAGTGGGCATTTTAGTGTGGTGAGTTAAGCCACTGCTTGGGCCATTTTGAGTCCCAGCTACTCAACTGTTGATTCAGCTTGCTGATAATGTGTCTGGGAAGCAGCAGATAATGGACCTGAATGGAGTTGCTGGCTCCCGGCTTCAGCCTAGCCCTGTTCCATCTATTGCGGCTATCTGGGAAGTGAACCAACAATGGAAGCTTGTTGTCTCTCTCTCTCACTCTGCCTTTCATAAATTTTACAAAAAAAATTTAAACTTAAGATTTTGAAAGTTAAATAACTTAAATACAATGTGAAGACAATTATGATACGTGAATATGACAAAAATTGTGAAAGTGCTGCTCAAATAGCCAAATTTTGGGAAGGAATTCGTTAGGAATTCAGGTAACAATATCCTATTGCAGAGTAGCAAGGGGAAGCTTCATAGAGAATGTATTAACTGTTACCTGAATTGTATTTAATGTTTAGTTCAGTTTGAAAAAGATGTGTGTTATTCTTGGATGAAGAAATTTTAGTTTTAAGTGAGGATCGTTGGACTTTGCCTTGCCTGCAAATTGCAAATATTTCATGTATTTATATGCTGTTAAAGATTATCAGTATTTTAAGACATTATTATATCTATGTCTTTGACAACAAATTCCATTTGATAAAAAAGTTCATGTTTAAGTTATTATTCTGAGTATTTGAGTAAATGTATGTAAATGAAAAGGTAATCCTCATTGCTAAACTGTGGCAGTTTATATTGGTGGAACAGGCAAATTCTCTGCATATATGCAACAAAAGCTGAAAACCTTTCTTAAATAATAAAGTTGCAGCATTTCAGCTTATATAAGTGGGAGCATTTGCCTTACATTGATTGCATAGTGCCATGAGACACGCAAATTAGAAAAATGACAGCAAAGATAATTTGTTAAATTTGAGATTCAAAATCCGTAAGTCCAAAAAGATCTGTAGTGAGCAGAATCATCAAACAGGTACAAGGTAACATAACAGATGAATTATAAGAAAATGATATAGGTACTGGGTTGCAAACCACCTTCATAGTTTGCATGCTTTGGAAATATGTTCAATTTAATTGCTTAACTTTACAGAAAAGTGAGTGATTTCACTTGCTGATTCCTGACTAATTACTTGGCCATTTAAAGAATTCCTAGAAGAACATTCATGGAATTTGTATGAGCCAGATTGCTCTTTGCCCATTTTTTAAACCCAGCTTTCCACTTGCAAATTTTTTCTGACTTTTTAAATTGTCTCTGGACTTCAGAGACTTTTCACAGATAAATTTAGGTTGGCTCTATTGCTGCATCTGGAGAGAGAGAAGTTACCTTGGAAAGGAAATCCAAATATAATCTACATAAAGGAAGAATTGCACAGGAGAATGAAAAAGAGGATAAAGGCAAAACAAAGCAAGCAAATACAATTGATGCTAAGTCTACAAACTGAAAAATAAGAGAAAGCTCACATTTCAAAACTAAAATGATTAGAGTCTCTAGGTGAATATTTTCCCTAAAATTAATGTACTTTGCATAATTCTGAGAACTGAATATACAAACTTTTTTTTAGAAATACAGAAAACTTTTACTCAACTTACTATGTCTGGCCCAGATCTTTTTTCCAGTTATTTATTCATCTTCAGTATTTATTAAGTACTTTCCATATACCAAGTACATAATGCCTCTCCATGGTTTACCAGCTCCAAAAAGAAAAAAAAAAAGATAAATAAGCACTGCAAGGTTGGTTTTGGTAAGGAAGTACTGTTTTTGTGTGGGGAAGCATAATAAGAGAACCTAATTTAGACAGGAGATGCTGAAGGAAAACCATACAAAAGGAAGAGGTTTGTTTTTTGTTTGTTTGTTTGTTTTTTAACAGGTGGAGAGAAGGAGAAAGAATATCCCAGGCCCTGAAGCTAGAAATTTTGGAACATTGAGAACTGAGATGTCTGAAATGTTGAGATTAGTGAGGAAAAGAGGGAATGGGATATGCAGTGTAGGGACAGGGACCAATGCAGATCTCCTAAGCTTTATTAAGGATATAGGTAACATGGTAAGTGCAATGAGGAGCCATTGAAGGATTTGAAGTCACTGCCCATAAGGTTTTTTTTCTTGAATATTCACATTCTCTCCACAGTTTTACTCACTTCTACCCTCTTGCAAGTCCTAAAACTTAAACCCCTTAATTCTGTCACTACTCATTATTACTGACCCACTGCTTTTTGTACCACAAACTTTTAGGGAAAAAAAAAAAAAAGCTAGTGTTGTTTCTACATCTCCATCACTTACTAACTTTGACTCTCCAATCTGTCTTTCATTCTTGTAACTAAAGTGGAACTGCACTTCCTAAGGATATTCCTAACTTAATAGTCATCCAACCCATGGGTCACATTGACTAAGTTCACTCTCAATTCCTTCAGATCTCTGTCTCTTTTTAAAAAGCTATCTTTTTTTTTTTTTTTTTTTTTTTTTTTTTGACAGGCAGAGTTGACAGTGAGAGACAGAGAGAAAGGTCTTCCTTTGCTGTTGGTTCACCCTCCAATGGTTGCCGCGGCTGGCGTGCTGCGGCCAGCTCACCACACAGATCTGATGGCAGGAGCCAGGTACTTATCCTGGTCTCCAATGGGGTGCAGGGCCCAAGTACCTGGGCCATCCTCCACTGCACTCCCGGGCCACAGCAGAGAGCTGGCCTGGAAGGGGGGCAACCGGGACAGAATCCGGCGCCCCGACTGGGACTAGAACCCGGTGTGCTGGCACCACTAGGCGGAGGATTAGCCTAGTGAGCCGCGGCACTGGCCATAAAAAGCTATATTTTTGAGGGGCTAGCACTGTGGCGCAGCAGGTTAAAGCCTTGGCCTGAAGCGCTGGCATCCCATATGGGCACTGGTTCTAGTCCCGGCTGCTCCTCTTCTGATCCAGCTCTCTGCTGTGGCCTGGGAAAGCAGTAGAGGATGGCCCAAGTCCTTGGGCCCCTGCACCCGTATGGGAGACCCGGAAGAAGCTCCTGACTCCTGGCTTTGGCCGTTGTGGCCATCGGGGGAGTGAACCAGTGGATGGAAGACCTCTCTCTCTGTCTCTACCTCTCTCTGTAACTCTGTCTTTCAAATAAATAAAATAAATCCTTAAAAAAAAGCCATCTTTCTGAAAGGCAGAGTGATGGTGTGGGGGAAGGAGGAGACAGAGAAAAGAGCGAGAGAGGGAGAGAGAGAGTGCTTCTATCCACTGGTTCACTCACCAAATGGCTCTAATCACTTGGGCTGGGTCAGGCCAAAGCCAGAAGCCTAGAACTCCTTTAGGGGCTCCCATGTAGTGGCAAAGGCTGAAGCACTTGGGCCATCATCCACTGCTTTACCAGGTACATTGGCAATGAGCTGGATCAGAAGTACAGCGGCTAGGACTTGAACCAGCAGTCTGATATGGGATGCTGGTATTGCAAGCAGCAGCTTAACCAGCTGCACTGCAATTCTGGCCCCCAGATCTCCATTTTTGATGCCTATAACATTCTTTATATTTCTAACAACTGCTTCTGTCTTCTCTCTGACTTCTTACAATTTACCCTTCCTTTTAAAGTGCATTTCCAATTGTTTTTCTCTTTTTCATCTTGATTTTCTTTCTGGGATATCCACGTCACTTTCAGCTGTTACAAATATTGAAGATGCCTACCTTCTGTTCTAAATCTCTGTTTTATTCCAGTTTTGTATTTTCAGTTGCCTTTTATGTAGCCCCCAGGCAACTGGTACTGTAATTTCAACTTTTAGGAAACCAGAAATCCACTCCAATCAAATGGCTTCTCCTCTTACCTTGGTTAAAACCTTTGTCACTAGTCCACATAGGGGATCTGAATGTCATCTTTCATTCCTTTCTCACCTATCCTCACATCCCCTGCCTCATCGCATTGGTTGTCAAATCCCATTAATTCCACCTCAGTAGTTTCGCATACCAGTCGCAGCTTCCTATTCTTGCTGCCTTTGCCTTCATTCACCCCTGGCTCCCAACCAGAGATTGTAAAATTTCTAATTCATCTCCCAGCATCTGTTTTCACCCTTCTGATACAAATCTATTTTCCATTTCTGATAGTTACCCTCCTGTAACATTTTTTGATGATCTTAATGTCTTGCTAGTTCACTGAATCCTCAGCACGATAGTGTATGCGCTGCACAGGTTTGCCCCAACCTATCTCTTTTCCCTTTCATCCACATAACCTATACCCCACCCACAAAAAAAAAGTATTCTAAAAGTGTCACCTATATTCACACCTTTATTTCTTTGTGTATATATTTCTGTTTTTCCTTTTGTATTGCAAAAATAAGAAACATATCCATCCCACAATTCTGTGAAAATGGTACTTCTTCAATAAAATCATCCCCATTCCTCACAATTAAAGTTGATTGCTCTTTCCTAAGTATTCCAAAAGTATTTGGTATGTGATTCATTTACTAAAGTAAGTCATTCATTCCTACAAAACACTGTGTACCTCCCATGTGTGAAGGACAGAATTTATTCCTTAGCTTGTTTCCAGATGAGAGAAAGAAACCCAAAAGTACCTTCTGAGGGTAGAGTTGGGTGTCTGTCTTCTTTACGTGTTTTTAGCTTCATTGATACCTTACACATAAAATACATTTGACAATATCTGTCAGGGCAAGCATCAGTTGTTTTATTTGATGTGTAAAGTACTTCTAAGTTGTCAGGTTTCATTAAGATGTAATACAGGGGCTGGTGTTCTTGTGGAGCTTTCCCCCTGCAACACCAGCAGCCCGCGTAGACACCAGTTTGTGTCCCTGCAGCTCCACTTCTGACCCAGCTCCCTGCTAATGGCCTGGGAAAAGTAGTGGAAGATGGACCAAGTGCCTGGGCCCCTGCACCCATGTGGGAGACCCAGATGAAGGCCCTGGTTCCTGGTTTCAGCCTGCCCAGCCTTGGCCATCTGGGGAGTGACCCAGCAGATGGAAGATCTTTCTATCTCTCTCTCTCCCATAACTGACTTTCAAATTAAATAAATAAATGTTTTAATAAAAGATGTGATATGCATACATACTCATACACAAAATGCCACCCACAGTTGCTGTAGTCTGTTTTGTTAATTAGGACTGGATTCCCTGCTCAGGCTTTCTGGAAAAGCTTTATTATAGAAGCTGTTTTTGGTTAGCTGTATTTATTTTAAAGAGTAGAGGCTTGCTCGGGCTATCTTGAGGAGAAGGGGTCCAGTGTAAAAATTCTTAAGGCTTGAAACTAGAAGTCAGGAACCAGCACAGCTCTGAGGATGCTCTGTCTATGTTTAGTATGACAATGGCATGTGCTTATCTGCTCCCCTCTGAGAGTCTGCTCCATTGTCTTCTTCACTTCACTTTTTCTCCTCCTGCACATTTTTCTCTTACTACAGCCATGTCTTAGAAGAGACCACCCACTTTTGTGGACTCTGTCTCTTCATCATGGCCCTTAAGTTTTACCTCCCACTGCTAATGGTAGCAGACTCTTCACATGAGGGCACTTCAAAAAGTTTTTTGGAAAATTTGTGCTACCCTTGAATTCAGTTTTTCCATAAATTTTTCAAAGCCCTCTTATGTGTTCCAATTCCTGTACCCAAGAATGAGACCCTGATAGGCTCAGGTCTCCTTTGGGGCCAGGTCACACCATAGGTGTTTTTACATAGGCATTCTGTGGGTCACATACAACTTCTGGTCCATTCATCTCCCCTCTGCTACACAACATGGCTGCCTAGGCCCCAAGAACTGTAAGGGATGTGAGCCTTGTCTGTTTACATTCACTAAATTATATCACCAGATACATCCACTGTCCTTAAAAATATTAATTATTTTCAACTATCATGTATCCTAACAGTACTTCCACAAACACTAAAATATTGAAAATCATAATCCGAATTCATGTCTTTCCCTTTTTCTTTCTCCTCTTTTTGATCATGTGCTCTGTTCTTTAAGCCACACACTTAACAAGATATAGGACTGCTGATGTACCAAAAGTCTTAAGCTTTTGAGAATCCTTGTCTCTCTTCTTCCTCAATTTTCTTGGGAGAGCCCACATGAACTCCCGGTTTCTGGCATTTGCCTCTTTTATCATCCCTTACCTTGCTGCTTCCATGGATTCACTGTGTTTGGAGGGGATGTGAAGGTGGATCTGTTCCTTCCATGCTCCAACTCTAGGCTGATGTCTTTTGTTACTATCCCCACAAATGAACTTTATGTTTAGTGACTTGCTCAGTGACCAATTTAGAGAGACCATAGAAAAAGAAAAGAGGGATTTTTCTAGATTAAAATCTTCAAGTCTAATATCCTATGAAATTCCCAAGATTGTTCATTTTTTATTTAATTCCTAAGTTATATTATTCAAACATTTGTAAATCACATTATGCCCATACATAAAAACTCAAGTTTCTAATTTAATCTCATTTTATGACTTCTTCATGAGCTTCTGAAAATGTCCTCTTATGATTGTAGCCACAATCAGAGTTAAGCATTTGTTTTACTTTGCCTTCTCAGATTTGTTGAAGTTAAAAAGTTTTAAAGATTTATTTATTGATTGATTTTTTTATTTGACAGGTAGAGTCATAGGCAGTGAGAAGGACAGAGAAAAGTTTTAAAAAATAATAAATAGGCCAGCGCCGTGGCTCAACAGGCTAATCCTCTGCCTTGCGGCACCGGCACACTGGGTTCTAGTCCCAGTCAGGGCGCCAGATTCTGTCCCGGTTGCCCCTCTTCCAGGCCAGCTCTCTGCTGTGGCCAGGGAGTGCAGTGGAGGATGGCCCAAGTGCTTGGGCCCTGCACCCCATGGGAGACCAGGATAAGCACCTGGCTCCTGCCATTGGATCAGCGTGGTGCGCCGGCAGCAGCGCACCGGCCGTGGCGGCCATTGGAGGGTGAACCAACGGCAAAAGGAAGACATTTCTCTCTGTCTCTCTCTCTCACTGTCCACTCTGCCTGTCAAAAAAATAAAATAAAATAAAAAATAAAAAAATAATAAATAGCACTCTGATATGCAAAGCCTTCCAATGGCACTTCTCTTGCCTTTAGCTAATACTTGTAAATTCCTTGTTAATGCGTTTTGGGATGTGAGTGTCTTTCACTGGATCTGCTTATAGAATATGGCAAAATTAGAAGAGAATCTAAGAGCTAAAAAATATGTTCTTTCTTTCAGGAAGGCTGAAAAGATCGATAATTACCAAAAAAACCCAATGTAATGTATCATTAAAACCAATCTCTAATGAATCAAATATGGAGTATGTAGATTTCACTCCTATCCTTGGAAGGAACTCAATAACTTTTTGTTGAAATGACTGATAAAGGTTTCAAGTGGTCAAGTTTTATGGTCATTTCACGTCCTCACTCAAGATTTTAAGAGTTGCTAGTACTTAAAAATCAAGTGTCCTTTGGAGGAATATAATTAATGACAATACTGCCTTCCAGAAAAATTTCAA